AGCCTAGAGAGCAGGCTCACTATGCTAACGACCCCCAAAAGGTCCCCGCAGACCTCCCTCAGCCCCTTTCCTCTCTTGCCCTCTGAGTGCCAGGCCACGGAGAAGATACGGCAACACCTCCAGGTTCTTCTGTGTCTCCCCCTTAATAAACTGTCTCTTCTCTTGTAATTGACGTCTCTGTATAACTCATTGTGTAGAGGCAAGAGAAACTGACCTCTGGACTCAGATCCATACCTGTTGGAGGTCCAGAAGGCCCTGGTCCCTCCCTACAGGGACTTTCCAGTGGACTGGCTTTGTGTCCTCAAAAGGTGGCTGCTGGATTTTCCTGGAACCAAGTGACAGGAAAAGGATGCCATACGGCTCTTGTCTCTGTGACCCAGCTTTGGGAGCCAGACCTTCTGTTCCCACAGTGTCTTAGGAGGGACACAGGTCAGCCATTTCAGCCTGGGAGGAGGCTCCTTGGTCTTCTTTGGGTCTGGCTGCCCCAGCAACAATCCCATTTTTCATCTCCCAGCACCCAGAACTTTTGTTTCCCACTCTGATCTCCCTGAACTTGCTGTCCATCTTCCCGCTTGGAGGTCGCCACAGTCTTTCTCCTCATCAGTTGTACGGCTCAGTTCTCTTTCCCGACCTTTTCATCCACAGTCTGGACCATCCTGTTCCCTGCCAGTCTTTTCTCTTCAAGTCTTGGACTCCACTGCTGACATTGGTTTTTTTTCTCTTAACTCTCACCTTCCTGGCTTTGTCCTTGACCTCAGTCTGTGATCTCTTTTCTTGGCAGGGCTCCTCAGAGTCCCTTGGATATAGCCGGCAGCTTCTGCAGGATTACATGCTGTCCTTAAATCACGGCATTTGGGGCAGGGGTGCAGATAGGCAATAAAGAGTACTAAATATGTCATCGACTGCCAGATAGATGAAGAAAAAACGTTTCCCTGAACTTTAGTTCATCATCTGTCCAAACTGAAGACTTTTAAGGCAACTTGGGGCTTCAGAGTCAGGCACACAGTTTGGAGACGCCTGAGTTTTTGGTGCAGAGGTGTATGCCTGGCAGCTCTCTGCTGTGAGCATTCTTGGTGGTGGAAAGGAGGAGGAACAAAGTACATGTGGAACATTCCCGACATCTTGAGATTATAAACTGTCTGATGTGCTGAGGTTTTATCTGATGATGTCTCTCGGGTCTGCTGGTGGTGAAAGGTTCCCAGATTTGTGAGGTGTGAGGAACGTGCGGCTGTATCTAACCCGATTGGCAGGGCTAAGATGTAACTCTCTGACCTCCTGAACTCGGAGCCTCCTTTCAAAGCTGTGAAATGTAAACCCACGGTAGCTGCTGGCCTTCGCCATCTCCCCCTGTCCCAGGAGCTTTTGCTTTGCTGCTGTGTTTAAAACTAAGTTAATAATTTTCAGAACTAGGGAACGGGTCACTCTGAGGCTCTTTTCATTTCCCCAGAAAACACCGTGTAGTGACTTCATCTTTGAACAGAATTGATTTTGTTAGACAGAAACAGAAACAAAGAGGCGGATTAAGTAGTTTTGAAGACTTTGGTGCCCTAGCAAAATAAATCATGGCATTGAATACCAGATGCTGTTTGTACATGGCAGTTACTCTGTTAGTTGGGTGAGTTTGGGGATAGTTCAGCCTTCTGGGCCGCAACCCATTAGGGTAGATGAGAGGGTCACCATGCAACCCAGTGTGTACAAGTTAGAGCAACTGTGGAACTTTATTTGAATGTGTTCCTATTCAATGCCCCCTTGCTCATGAACGCAGGACACTGGAAGGCCTTCATGTTAGAACATTGGAGGTAACTGGGTGGAGTGAGACTTCGGGGTTCCTGCAGTGACCAACCATGACACCCTGGATCCTAGAGATTATGAGGTTTGCAGTAAAAGCACGGAGACATTTTTAACAAGAGGCCTTATGATTCCTCCAGGCTCTTGCTCAAAAGAAATAAGCCTGAATCTTACTTGAAGGGCTCACTCACAGATGTGATGGAGTTCTAGCTGATTTGGGCTGACGACATAGTCTGTTGGGGGCAGGGGTGTTAAGGAATGGAAGGGTTCCGGTGAGCAGATTGCACATAGTTATCAGGCTAGCCACTGTCTTGTATCTTATTTACATACCCGGTGGGTTCTGTTTATCACCATTAACCAGCTACATATCTCAGTTGCCATGAGTAAGTGGGTATTTTCTTAGTAGGGACAGGGAAATGCAAAAAATATTTGCAAAAGAAATAGAATTTTATCGTCATTGTGGCTTCCTGTGTTTTCACCACTCTTAGTCTGCATGTCTCCGGGCCACAGTGACTAGTATACCTTCTATTTAACCATAGTGTTTCCTAGTCAACAGCCGCCTTTCGGGGGAGCATAATGAATAGTCAACCTTTATGGCCCTGGAGGGCCAGGCTGCATGGTGGGGAAGTCAAGTGAATTTAATCATAAGCTGAGTCATTAGAAGGTGTAGCTTAGGGAGATCCTAAGCAAAGTGACTCCCTCTCCTAGCCATTCAACATTTACTTCAGGCCAGGAGCCCCTGACCCTGATGGACAGCCTTCAAGGAGTGTTCTAACTATTGTCCCATGTCTCCTCAAAGAATTACCAACGCTTGCTCATGTCTCTTCGCCTTGCATCCTTTTAAACAGCACAAGTGGTTGCTGAAGATTTGATCAAACCGTGAGGAAAGAAAGGAGTTTCGATAATATTTTATTTCTCGTTATGTCTTGGACCCTGTTCATCAGTGTTACAGTAAAATTATCCCCTTTAGTATTATTTTTTTCATGGCTTTTTCCTTTTAATGAAAAAGCCTTATTTTCAAGTAGAGGAATATATTGGATAAGTCACTCCTATTAACTCAATACAGAGATTTTTGGAAAGCTTTAGCACTTTAAAAAAATGTCAAATTGAGAGTTGAAAATAGTTGCTCTCATTTGATTAAAAAAAAAAAAGCTACAACTTGGAGTGATTCACTGACGTTTCTGTTGGATGCACATGAACCTCGCTGGCCCCATGCCCTCTCCCTCCACAGGGTGCCTCTGCCTTCACACTCACTGCTTTCCCGCGTCTGTCAGAGAGGGCTCCCACCACCTGTTCTATTTCCGGTGTTCTTCCCATGCTTCTCCTCACCGTCACCTTGGAATCACAGTACAAAGCAGGTTTATAATTATTCGGCTGCACCAGGAACTGGGATAGGAAAGGAGAGGGGCTTTACTCAAAATAAACAGTAGGGAAGTTACAAAGGTCCACAGGAACTCAGCGGGTAAACACTGCAGTGCTCGCAAGTGAGCCTGGCGGTAAATGTTGAGCTTCTTAGGGAGTTCTGGAGTCAGTCAGGACATTCAGACAAGAAAGGGTGATAGGAGAGTGTTACCTGCCTATGGGAAAGCTGAGAAGGCTAGTCCTAACATCTCCGAAGCAGTGTGGGGACTTGTGTCCTGAGTTCTGAGCACTGGAGACAGATGAGGGTGTCCATGCCTGACCCAGCCAGATGTAGACCGCCTCACTCTGGGCAATGAGATTTAGATGTGAGGTGCACAGGTCCCTGTCCTTGTTATTCGTTATTCGTTAGAATTTGATGACCCAGCCCCCAGTCTGTTTGTTCAGAGTCCTGGGAGTCATCAGCAGGGCTCTTGTTATTTATCTTTGAGATTTCACTTTGCAGAAGAATTTCATTCTTTTCATTGTTTATTCCACTAAGGGTCAGGGTGTTGTAACTGGCAGGGCATGTTTGTAACCCCAGCACTTAGGAGGCTTACACAGGGGCTCATGAGTTCAAGATGCGCATGGGCTGTACAGCAAGAGCCTTGCCACAAACAGATCGAACCAGGCCGACACTAGTTCAAGTTGGATCTTTTATTTCTTTGGCAATTTTCAGTCTAGGAAGAATTGTATTGGAGGAGGAATCAGCTTGGAATGAATGATTTAACAAATTAAAAACTTGTGTACTAGACAGTCGTTTCAGCTCTGTGTTAGGCATTTGGGGGAAAGCCCTAACTGAGCTTGGATTAATGTTCGGAGTCAGTGACTTTGCTCAGCCGTTTTCCAGGCGTGAGCTAATGTCAGGTCTCTAAGGTTCAAGCTGGGTGCTGCTGCTTTGACTTTTGAGAGCTGAGATGTAGGCTTGGGGAGTTTAAGTAACTAATAAATAAAGGGAATTGTTTGAGCTAATGTGAGTATGAAACTCATGAGGACAAGTGGTGGGAAATACACTGGCTAGGAGGAGGAGACGGCCCGTGGCCTAGATGCCAGGCTGAAGACCTGGGCTTATTTTGTTGGGAACAAAATCCCACTGGAGCTCTCGGATCCCTCAGATTTCTCTGGTGGTAGCTTGTGGGGTGGGAGACATGGAAAGTGTTAGAGGCCAGGTGAACCTGGAGGGTGATCTGGTAGTTGTAGAGAATGAAATCTGTTTGTTTTTGTAAGCCTCCTCTTAGTCTCCTTTCTGAATTTGCTCTCAAACATCCTAGCTTTTAGATGTATTCTTGTATGGTGCTACCAGTTTGGGAGCGACTTTCAGTTTCAGTGCCAGAATATAAATGAAACAGGACAAGACAAATAAAAAGGTGAAACACTGAGAATCGGATTGTTCACCAATTATGTTCTGTTATTTGGAGGTAAAATGATTGGACTAAGAGCTGGCTGGACATTTAGTCTAGAACTCTTAGAATTCTCTGTGGTGCTAAGACATTTGCACTAATTTTGGTACTTGTCTAGCTATGATGTCATAATGCATGCTTTATTTTTTTAATTGAAGTCAAAAGTAGCACAGTTTGTTTTAAAAAGTAGAGCACTGTGAATTTTTGTGATGTTAAATCTGAATTGAGACTGTATCTGTGAAATAAATTTATTAATGTGTTATGTTGTATAAAGGGAAAAAGGAGAAGAAAATTCTGTATCATTTCCTGTATCAGTCATTTGACATTATATAACTATTGTCTGTCACATAAGGACTAGGAAGCTAATGATTTATAGATGTATCCCAATACGCAATGGTTATTTTCTTCTTTTAGCAGATTTCTGCTCCAGGCAGATCTTCTTCCAATGTGAACGGTGGACCTGAACTTGACCGTTGCCTGAGTCCTGAAGGTGCTTCTCAGTCTGATCATTGCTTTTATAAAGGAAATCATCCATCTGAACTTGGTGGCCGTCAGGATTCTTTCTCAACAGGGATGCGATAGGTCCCCTGATAGCCCGGGTAGCTTTAGTGAGGCGTTGAGAGTGGGGTCACTTGAGGGTGTGTAGTCTTTCTGCCATATACCACGTTATCCCTGTTTCAAATCCGAGACCTCGGCTTCCTGTCTTGTCTATGCTCACAATTCCTAGCTCTTTTCCCATTCTCTCAGTTAGATGAACACAGACAACAGGACACATTGTGATCAGTGATCTGATTACTTAGCCTCAACATAGTTTGATAGAACTTTCTTTACTAGAACCAAGGAGAACTCTCCAGAGTACTCCTCAGATGGAACCCATCCCCCTCTTGCCCAAGACAGGAATTTTGAAGAGGTCCGGTTAGACTCCCTAACTGACACTCCAGGATTTGTTAGGCTTATTGATTTTTGTGGGTTCCTGATTCCAACCAACACGGTCAAAAGAAAACTGGTGATTCAGGCATTCTATTTAGGAAATATGCTGAGGGAGTTTCTTTAGTTTTGCTATGAGCCTATAAATAATTGCATTGTATTTCATTGTTTTCCAACTAAGTAGGAGTCAGTACGAAATGCTGACATTTCCTTCAGACTTTGCATTTATCCTTGGTCGCAGGTGTAAATGGGAACAGGTGCTCTGAGTCATTCACCCTTCTGGAGAAATACAGAATCGGGAAGGTCATCGGAGATGGCAACTTCGCGGTAGTTAAAGAGTGTGTGGACAGGTGAGTGGCGGGTGGTTTGTTCCCACACATACAGTTCTCCCACTACCGAATGGTCTCTGTCAGGGTTTCTATTGCTGTGAAGAGACACTATGACCATGGCAACTCTTATAAAGGAAACATTGACTTGAGGGGGCTTGGTTACAGTGTCAGAGGTTCAGTCCTTTATCATCATGACACAGAACATGGCAGCGTGCAGGCAGACGTGGTGCTGGAGCTGAGAGTGCTGCATCTTACTTCAGAGGCATCAGGAAGACAGCAGACTCACTGGGCAGTATCCTGAGCATAAGAAACCCCAAAGCCCATCTCCACAGTGACACACTTCCTCCAACAAGGCCACACCTCCTAACAGTGCTAGTCCCTGTGAGATTATGGGGCCAAATACATTCAAACTACCACATGAAGGAAAGGCCTTTCTAGAAAGAGTCTCTTTTCCCTTTCCTAAAAGAATCTGTCCTTGGGACTAGCCCTTTGGCGTGGCCACAAGCAGTTGGTCTTCAGTTACATATGTAAAATTGTTTCGTGTGCATGTGGTTTAAAGGACATATCAGAACTCATCCACCAGCCTGGAGAGAAGTAAGGAAGAAATGAACCACTGGAACAAGAAAACCTGTAACAGCACATCAGACTCTGATCAGTGCACACGGTGTTACTGCCTTGGACCTTTGCAGCAATGCTGAGCTAGACCCATAGCTCTGGATAAACGAGCCACGACTGTGAGATCAGAAGGAACCAACCTCTGCTTGTTCTTGAACTCTTAAAGCAATATGAAAGTCCTGGTGGATGCACATGAAAGTCTGTGTGTTCATAGAACACTGTCCTACCTGCTCTGAACGGCTGATTTTCTAGAATGTTCTGATAATTACAGTTTGTCCATTCTGTGGCATCTCCAGTGAGGGTTCACTCCCCTTTATATATTGCTATGTAAGGTAACTGCTATTCTTGAAGCCTTTCCAGAGCCCTGGCATACACATTGCTCCTTGAGAAAACAATGAGGCACCTAAAATGTAACTTCTAAGGACATGTTAGAAATGTGGTTTATAACATGAGGGGAGAAATTTATTTATTACCTTTCCAGGCTGTTCCACATCCCTGTGTACCAAGGCGCTTTGGCAGAAAGACCTGCAGATGAGAAAACACATGTATTCTGAATACTTTGGAAGAATACTGTGATGGTCTCTGTCGCACTGTTTTCATTTGAGTTGGGTTTTGTTTTTTTTGCCTGTTTAAATTCAACTATGCTAATATTGAGTAAAAATTAAATAGTATTGAATTAAGACTTTTGTGTCCAATAAGTGATTTCTTTAGTACCAGGCAGGGTCTACAGGGTGGAAATGATGTAGTACCAGATCTTGTTGAAGGTATGGAGGAAAAATAGGTACTAAAAGTGCCAGGATTCGGCAGTTTTCAACTGTAGAATCAGGTGGTGGTTTATTTTTCCTCGTTAATCTGATCTGATAAATACTATATTTATTCTTCTTAGACACCTGTCTTGAGATTTAAGTAAAGAAAGTGCTTCTTTTCTTGTGTTGCTGCAACAGAATTTAAATACTTCCATTTGAATTATTAACGCAAAAGAAGATTTAGTTAGCCTGGCTTTGTTTTTTTTCTTTTCTTTTCTTGGGAGTTACTTCCTCCTATGACCCCTCTCCACACTGTGTCTAAGGGACAGAAGTGTGGGTGCTGTGGAGGGAGCTGGGAAGGAAGGTTTATTCTGATTTATAGAGCTAACGCCTTCCTATGGTTATTCCTAGGTCTACTGGAAAGGAGTTTGCATTAAAGATTATAGACAAAGCCAAGTGCTGTGGAAAGGTCAGTGTGTCCAACTGTAAGTGGGTTCACGGAGCGGGAGGTATCCGGGCGGGGACTTGAGACCTTTGTTGCAGGAGATCGACTTCCAGTAACCGAAACGAAAGTAATAATTTTCACCGTGCTGTTTTCTAGTGACTTTTACCTCTAAGACCGTAAATTTATATGATCTTGGTTCTAACGATAAAAAACGTGAAACTCTCTTTCCTGGGAGATTCCTAGTCTCAAATCCAGCAACATTTAAAAGGCTAGGACTCAGGACCATTAGATGGTAGTTCCCTACCTCCATGCTAAGGGTTGGCCTTCTGGCTTCAGGAAGTTGGCAGAAAGTAAGACGGATGACAGGCAGCCTGCTTCCTCCGGCTCCCAGGTGACGCCCAGGGGTCCAGTCCGATGCTCTATATTCGTGGGTTTGTATCAGACCTGAGGAGCCCCAAGTTTGAACACCTCGAGTCTTAGGAGGCAGCCGCTGGAAATCCACCCAAGCTATTTGCCGAGGAAAACATTAGTTTCCTTGTCGGGGCCAGGAAATGATCTGGCCTTGTCCCTCTGTGTTCTGAGGGTGTTTGCTGCGTAGATGTTCTGGGGCAGGATGTTTGGAGCAGTGGCTGGTGCAAAGACAGCATGAAGTGAATCCTTCAGCACAGTGACCCGTTTCTGTCTGTCCTGCTCTCAAACCGGAGTGGAAAGGATCCGCTGATGACGGGCTGCTAGAGGACAGTAACTGGACAGACACAGAGACCACAGGCCTGTGCTGATTCCTCTGTGGCGGCAGCTCTGTTAAGCAGAAAAGGCTGTGGAGCAGTAGTCCAACACCAGGTGGAGCTGCTGACCGCACACGGCTCAAGCACTTGGATGGTACAAGTCTGAAACAAGCTGTGGGCTCAAGCACACGCCGAGCACATCAGTAACGGTTTCCTATGTCACCACACGGTGGAGTAGTTTAGATAGAATGGATTAAGTTACGTTTTCCAGTTCATTTTTCTGTTGGTCATATTTTCCAGTGTGACTATTAGAAGCTTTAGAATTGCATATTTGAACTTCACTGTGACCTGTTGGAATGTTTACTCTAGGGCCAGAGTGTGCAGAGTCACTCCTGCCTTAACCTGCTGCGGTGGGACCCTGGACAAACGCTTAAGTCCTCTGTGTCTCCGTTTCTTCTTCCTCTAAAGGTGTTGACTGACAGTGTGTACGCCACAAGGCTGCTGCAGTGGCAGGTGGGATGAGGGAGTGGAAACACGTACAGAGCCCCAGTGTGTGCAGAAAGAACCGATGCGCGTTACTGTCGACATTGTTAGCATGCCAGAGGACTTGGGAGTTTATCATTGTGGGTGATGTGGTAGGACTGGCTCTACACTGTGGAGGTGCCAAGAAAACAAGCAAACAAAGCCAGTTTTCAGTGGATATTTATGAAACCACATGGTTTTAACAGAACGTTTAAAATAGTGTTAAGGAAGTTTTAGAGAAACCTGCCTATGAGGCAGATTTGTCATTTACTGTTTTCTCACGTAACTGTCAGCCAAGCCAAGGTGGCAAGACAGCCCTTTTCTGCATGGTGACTTTCGTCCGATCTTACGTGCTTTGGCATGTTCTGTAACCATTGTAAGTGCTCATTTTCTGTGTCTGTGTGTGAATGTATATATGTTGTGATGTGTGTGTGTGTGTGTGTGTTGTTTTGTGAGATGTGTATGTGTACATGTATGTGCGTGTGTGTTTTGTGAGGTGTGTATGTGTACGTGTATGTGTGTGTGGTGTGTGTGTGTGTGTTGTGTGTGTGTGTGTGTACACATGCCAAGGACAACTTGCCTTCCATTATTCGCGTCCCAGGAATCAAACTCAGTCTTGGGTTGGGCAGCAGGCATTTACCCACTGAGTCGTCTCTTGCTGGCCCCCTTTGCTTATACTTCTAATAATATTACTAATATTCAAATGTAATAACCTTTTCTCTACGTGTAACTGTTAGTCTTTCCGTCTGTGAGGTGATCTAAGCACGATGTGTCATGAATCAGCCACGTTCTATATGACTGTTACGTTTTCTTCCAGAATATTAAGGATAATGGTTAAGATGTAAGTAGCTGTGTTCATAGGATCACATGCAGGAATTTCATCTGATACAGTGGGTGCCTAGACACATGGGGATAGGCCTCCCAACGTTTGGATTTGTGTCTCCCTGCTACCGGATGTGCTTCTGTTTGCACAGTTCACAATCTTATGCTTCTCCGCATTTTTACATTTTGCATATTTGACCAACAAATTTCATATCAAAACTGCATAAAATTATAATTTAAAAACTTGATGTTGCAAATAAGTTGATTTTTTTCCCCACGGTGAAATTATATTTTCAGATAAAAATAACATAATTTGTTTACGAAATTTTAGGGGATCATGCAGCCACTAGTATGGAGACCATTGCTCACCTCTGCTTTGTGGGTCTTACATGGAAAACCAGTGCGTTGACAGCCACCACCAGCGGGGAATGTAGGGACTTGGCCCAGTCGTGACTCAGAACGCTTCCACCAGCTCTGCCGAGGAGGAAGCAGAGATTTGGGTTAGCCAGCTTCCCGCAGACCCGCAGAGGCCAAGTCCTGACTTGAGTTTGGGTGCACCCATGTACCTCTGCGTTTCGATCTGCTCCTTCTTCATATGATAGGATCCTAGGGGAATATTCATTCTTGTCTTCTGTTTCTTCTTCTAATACACATGACCATCAATAGAGTACGTTCTTCACTCACCTGAACTTTGGTGTGTGTTCTCTGGGTAAGACACAGTGCCGGGAATAGGTGACTCACCACAGAATTAATACCAATTCTTCTGAGTATGATGTGGGCTCAGGGAAAGCTGACGGAAGAGGATCTGATATCCAGTGAGGATGCCATGGAGTGAGAAGCATTTGAGGAGAATGGGGAGATGTGGGTAAAAGTGCTTCCCATGCAGCCCGAGGCCCCAAGTTCCATGCCTAGCACCCATGGAAAGGCAGGTCCTGAAGCTCAGGCGTCTGTAATCCCAGTGTTCTTAAAGGGAGAGGGGAGCAGAGACTCTCCTGACGTTCCTGGGCCAGCTAGCCTAGCACACCAGAGCAGAAAAACAGCTAGAGACCTTTTCTCAAACAAGGTGAAGGCGAGGATACCTGATGTTGTTCTCTGAGCCCTGCGTGAGTGCCGTGGCATGCACACACCTGCTGGATCCATGCACACATGCCTATCATATCGATAGACAGAAGAAACATTTGAGCTGGTCCTGGAACTGCAGCAAACTTTCAGCACGCGGTGACGAAAGGAAAACCCACCAGGTGGCCAGAGCAGATTGAGCGAAGGCCCAGAGGCGCAGAGCGCACCGGGTTCCTGTGAGCACTGTCGTTTGAACCTGCCTCGGACCTGACCGGCAGAGGTTGTCCAGAAGGCTGTGGAATCCTGCCTGTTAGGATTCATTCTGTTCCGTCCTGAGATCCCCTCATTTAAATGACTGTTGACTGAATCGCCACAGTAAGGAAGCCCTGAATTGTCCTCTCTTACCTTGTACAGTTTTGCATTCATTATCTGCATATTATGGACCCAGATAAGAGATAAACCCAAAAGCATATTATGCTAGTTTTGAGCTGTTGGAGTAAATGGCCACACAGTTTAAATCAACAGAAATTACCCTCTCACAGTTCTGGTGGCCAGAAGTCAGAAATCTACACTTTCCTGGGGCTCCTGGGGAGAATGTGCTTCTGGCCGCTGAGCGCTTCCAGGTGACTGACAGTGTTGGGCTTACGGCCATGTCTCTTTACTCTTTCTCTGTCCTCACGTGTTCTCTTCTGGGCTTTTATTGCTGCTCTTACATCTGTGTGGATTCTCCTTCCTCTTTCTTAGAAGACTGTTGTGACTCATTTTGGTTAGCCTGGTTAATTCAGGGCTGTCTTTGCATTTCCGAATCCCCTTTTCCAAATAAGATAATAGTTACAAAGTCCGGAGATTAGGACTTGATGCTTTTGAGTGACTTCTGCTTCATTCCACTACATAACACTTATGCCGGAAACCACATACAGTGATTTGAACACGCTTTCCTTCTTGGTATATTGTCCTCAGCAGTCTTAACTGCCAGCTGTGAAGCCGCTGATGGGTGATGTGTGTGTGTGTGTGTGTGTGTGTGTGTGTGTGTGTGTGTGTGTGTATGTGTGTGTGTGTATGTGTGTGTGTGTGTGTGTGTGCGTGTGTGTGTGTGTGTGTGTGTGTGTGTATGTGTGTGTGTGTGTGTGTGTATGTGTGTATGTGTGTGTGTGTGTGTGTGTGTGTGTGTGTGTGTGTGTGTGTGTGTATGCGTGTGCATAGTTCCTCTGCACTGCGCATTTCTAACTATGCTGTTGGCTGGAAAGTGAGCAGACACCTCTAGGATGTTTGTTTAGGTGCTCCAGACCAGCCCACAGACAGAAGACAGTAGGAGGAGAGCTATGATTGTTGGAAGTGTGGGGGAAGGGCGGTGGCTGCCCAGGAGACAGTCACCTAGCTCAGCCTTGATGGGGCAGGGGACACTCCTCACAGGATGATGGGTAACTTCAGCCTGGTTCAAATGGTACTCATATTCTGTACGGAGAGAGTTTGAAAAATAGATTCTGGAGAACAGAGAGTAAAACCTACTGTGGATTGCACAGGATTGCACCTGGGGAGAAGCATTGCATCGCTTTCTATTGGTGCTTTGCTGACGTTTCATGATAATTAGTGTCGGAAGGACTGTTTCTTTATTAGACAGGAATAGAAAGAGACGGAGAAACAGAGAGGCAGCTTCTACATCCCAACAAAAACATTGACTCTGTGCTTAGATGGGACTGTTGTCAAGAACAGGGCACTAAGGTAACACGGCTTCTGTGGAGGACGTCCCAGTACTTGCTCAGTGTTGGGACTTGACAGTGCTGGGCAGCCTTCTCACACTGCCGGGAGAGGTTCCACAGGGGCCCCCGAGACTGTTTGAGTGTCTTCTGTTGAGAATAGTAGTAACTTGGGGAAGGGGTCTCAACCCTTGGTAGACAGTGTATTGTAACTCTATACAGAGAGCTTCCTGACACTGCCGACATGGACTGCCTTACATTTACAAATTGGCATGCCAAACCACCCCTCACCGTGTTTATAGACCCTCCTAACACTGGAGAAAATGGGCAAGAGGGAATGGCAGGCTTAGGGATGGAAGCCCTGATCTGTTTAGTTTTAAAAGAAGCCCGTTTTTACTGTAGTGGTGGTAACTGCTCTTGTCTTTGCTTAGTGTAGGGTGAGACAAATTCACATCATTGCTTTTACACCTGAAAGCTTCACTTGAGGGTATGGAATAAGTGTGGAGGGGCTGCTATGTCTTCTTGTGTGGCCTCTTTGGCTGCCCGCACAGCTGCCTCCCTGGATGCCGTCCCATGTGCTGGCTGCACCTTGTGTTAATACTCAGGAGGAGGCTCTCCCCTGACTGCCCGGCCATGTGCATTAGGGTTTGAGACTTCCTACCATCCAAGGAGATTTGGAAGCATTGATTCCTACACCACTCCAAAAGCCTTCCCAGCCCTCTTTCTTGAAAGAAGTACAGTTTTTTTTTCCTCCTTATATAAAGCCTGGTGTGGCTCTTCACCTCCAGTGAAGGTGTGATGCTACTGTTCATTTCTGTCTTTTCAACAAAATAATATCTTCATTTTCACCAATGTCATTTTCATTTTGAAAAATTCCAACTGTAATTTCACTCAGGTATTCCCTTTTCAAAGCAATGATGCCCAGTACAAGAGATGTGGACTTAGAGGCATGAATGCTAGGCTTACATCCCCATCTCCAAGGACTGAAGTAAAAGTTAAAATGTCAGAACATTACACAGGAGCCTTGCTCTGTGCCTGACAATTAGGGAGTCATTTTCCGGCAGACTTTGAGATTGGGCATTTGCTGTCCTTTGCTGACGCGTATCCCGTGACTTCTTGGATAGGCATAGTACATCCAGTGCTCAAGAATCTCAACCCAGCATGTGCAGGAACTTGCAGTAGATTGTATTCCCCACACTACCAGATTTGTTCATTTCTCGTGATTTATTCCTTCAGCTATTGTCAATTTGAATTAGACTAAAGACATAAATCATCTTTGAACCGGAAGATATAGGAAAACCAGAAATGGTGTCTGAAACTAGGGGTAAGCTGCCATGTCAGAACACCAGACTTAGCTCTGAGTCATGGTAGTAAAGGTCAAGGGCCAACTCAGCAGCACACACATAGAAACACACACACACACACACACACACACACACACACACACACACACACACACACACCCCTACATAGATGTGCGCATGCACACATCTTTAGATGATAAATGATATCTCTTCTGTATAAAATCGTCTTATTTCAGCATTTAGAATATTGAAGAGAGAAGCTTGCAGATTTTATCAATCGTTTTCTAAATTCAAATGGATCTGTCATTGAAGTTAGTAAGGATCCACGTGAGCCACACTTAGAACAGAAGGGCCACTGTGTGTGACCTGTGGATAATGTCTTAATTCTGTAAGTGAACATTTTACTACAGAGCTGCCCTCGTCCACATCATTCAGCATGAGCAAACTTAGGCAGTGTTTTCAGGGCAGAGTCGAGCACAGTTGAAATGAGCCGTGTGGTACGGCGGCGCCTTCTAGATTTCTGAAATACGAAGTACAAGGAACACCCATCTGGTGAATGACTTCATACCCACTCACAGAAGAAGAAAGCTTATTTTTCATGAATTTTAGCATAAAATTAAAATTTATATTGGTAGCAGTAAAACCTTTTAACCTTAGAGCTTGTGTGCCAAACTTTCTTATAGGCCTAGTCGTTATTTTTGCATGGAGTATTGAAGTTAGAAAGTGGTTCTCGTCTTACTGGCTCAGAGAAGGCACAGTGCTGTGTGGATACTGTCTTTAGTGTCATTGCTTACAGTGGAGTCATACATGTCAGTACGGTAACATTGAGCCTCCTGGGCATGCTCAGAAGGCAGTTTCTTTAGGGTCTTGTCAAAGAGATAGCCATTAGTGGCCTGTCCTATCCCTGGGGGAACTAAGTAAGCGGGCGTGGTTGTCCTGTGCCAAGAGACATGTCACCCTTGGCATTAGAAATGAAGGCTGTGATCTGTTGTTCTCCTCCAGGCTGTGGGGGCAGAGCCTAAGGTTCTGTGGTTTTGATGTCTCCCTCCACCCTTTGTTTAACAGGAACATCTGATCGAGAATGAAGTGTCAATACTGCGCCGAGTGAAGCACCCCAACATCATCATGCTGGTCGAGGAGATGGAGACGGCGACTGAGCTCTTCCTAGTGATGGAGCTGGTCAAAGTAAGAGGGCGGGCAGGTTTCACTGGCGTCCGATCTCAAATTGGCTTGCAACTGGTCAGAAAAGCATCCTCCGCCCTCTTCACTTTTGTTATTGGTACACATCGGTTGGTGTGTGGCCCTTCCTTCATCTGCTCTAAGCTGATGTGGCATCCTTCTCACCTCACAGGAGTGAGCTGTTGACATTTCTGTACATCTCTTTTTCTGTCCTACAGGGTGGAGATCTCTTTGATGCAATTACTTCTTCAACCAAGTACACGGAGAGAGATGGGAGTGCCATGGTGTACAACCTAGCCAACGCCCTCAGATATCTGCATGGCCTCAGCATTGTACACAGAGATATCAAGCCCGAGAATCTTCTGGTGTGTGTCGAATCTCTGCTCTCTCATTTTCAACTCATGCTTCTGTTCTTTTCAAACGATTGTAATACTGTGAAAGCGATCACACGTAAAAATGACATTTAGAGTGTAGACCAACGTCACAGTAATGAACTGAGCACTGGGGAGAAACTCAAGGAAACTCAGCAAGTTCAAGCTGACTGGGGTGTTTTGCATGCACCCACAAAATCCTAAAGGGTTTCCTGAATTGATGTGCATTCTGTTTTCTAGACATTAGAAAGTACATTTTCATTTGTCTTTGATTATGCTAGTCAGCTTCGGAATGTGGTAATGGAATACATGACATGATTAATGGGTAAAGTTCGGAGGTTCCAGTCCAGCATAGGTGACTCCATTGCTTCAGTCCTCTGATGGGATTGGCGATGGCGTCTGTGAAGAGCGTGAGATGATGTAGGGTCATTTGCCCACTTTATGCTTCCTTGAGGAAGCAAAGGAAGGAAGGAGACTCCGGGATCTTGGAGCATGTGTAATGGTGGAAGTGCCTTGCACAAAGCTCCGCCTGCTAAAGGCCTCACACCCGCTGAGCATCAAGCCTCTTGCACAGGGGTGTCTGGGACCTCTAACATCTAAACCTACAGCAGCAATACTGACTGAAGGAAGGCGAGCAAAATTGTATGGCACAGAACGTTGAAGGATAAATTGGAGACAAGTAGCGGCATGTGGGCGAGTGGATAGAACAGATGTGTTCGTGTGCAAACTGAAGTTTTGGTAGTCTGTTCCTTTCAGCTTTGTGGGTATGGAAATTGAAACTAAGATACACCAATTTTTTTTTTTTTCTGCTTGAAAGTGTCATGTATTCTATTCTACAGAATGAAATGTGATTTCTACTGTGTGGCTCAGGGACGTTGGTACATGGGTCCTGGTCTGTTTTACCAGCTTCCTGACCTGTTATAACCCTGTCTCCTCTGCCTGGCTCATCATGACACTCACCTCTAATTCATGTTCAACTCCCCTTCATGGTGAGCCATGATAGCTAGAGCTTATTCGTTGGCAGACAGTTCTGTTCTTGAGATCTCAGTGTCTGTGAGGAGCTGGAGGAGCTTGTTGGGGAGTTTGGCATGTACACACTCTCCCAGAATCAAGGTAACTAGCTGGCTTCTCTGTTGCCTTCATAGCTGAGTGTCATCGTAGTTACCCTTTAATAGAGAGGCTTATCTGTGTGCTGCCCCATCGTCTTAATTCCAGATGGTTTCTCCATCTTCAGCAGTCAAGACTTCCAGTACAGTTACACCTGCATTCTTCTGTCTGTCTGAGTCTGTATTGGGAATATCCTTCCCCAGTGTGGGAAGTATACACGTTTGACACTGCCCCAGGATCTCTGAGCAGACTTCAGGCACGGCCCTTGCCACAAGGTTGTGATTGTATACACTCTTATCTGTCTCCTTCAGATTGTAAGTCCTGGAGACTAGAGGTCATGATTCTTCTCTCCCTCATGTCCTGGACAGTGCCAAGCAGGTACACTGTGGATGTGTGGAGTAATACCTGGTGGTGGTTCTCAGTTACTCAGCTAGCCAGATGTTGAATAAAAATCATTATAGCCAAACTCGGGCACCACACAAATGATGGTTAAAAGGAATATGTGGTGATCGCCCCAAGGACTTCCTTTTCGTCCTTTTAAAATGTAAAAATATTTATTTTTGCGAACCCAGAGTATCCATTTTCCATTTGGTAATATCATTCGTTCATATCTTGTTCATCTGGATGTCTAAGTAACCCTCCTCCTCCCCCTCCCCTCCCCTCCCCTCCCTTCCTCTCCCTTCCCCTCACCCTCTTTATAGAAAACAGTTTCTTTCCCATCACTTGTCTTTCCATTTTGTTTAAGTTTCTGCAGCAGAACAGCTATGACTGCCCAGTGGTTGTTCCTCCCCACGCCGTGGCCAGGCAGTGGGAGCTGCAGACAGTCCTCTGTGGTTGGCTGGCACCCCAGTCCTCCGTGGGGACGTCTAGACGGGGGCAGAGGGTGCCTGTTCACCTGCTGACTGGTCTGCCCCCTCAGGCTGAGCAGCAGTGAGGTCAGGAGTTGGCACAGCCCATTTACCCCGACATTCCTCTTGGTCACAGCCTTCTCTGCAGCCTCCCTTCCCTTCTAGGCTCTTCAGGACTTGGGTCAGGCATGCCCTCCCTCAGATGCTCTTGGGAGATGGGACCTGAGACTCCCTGTGCTGTCTCCTGTCTAGCGCAGTAGACCCACAGAGTGAGCTCCTCCGTTGTGTGGGGCAGCAATGCCTCCATAGCGTGGACGTCATGACATGAAGCATGGCGGGCAGGTCGGCACGAGAGGCTTCTAAGAGAGGCTGGTGGTCAGCTCCGGACCGTGACTCCTGGAGGCTGCCCGGATCTGGTTCGCCAAGGACCCAGGCGTGAAGTAGCTAACAGCGTAAGGGCTCTGCTGGCAGCAGGAAGCTCCAGCACAGACTGCCAGCTAGATTTCCCGGAGGAAATGACGGACAGCGACAGGGTTTCCCATGGCTGAACTGCCTGCAGAAGCTGCCCCGAGTCCTCTTCAGTTTGACAGAATACCGACGATTTCTCCTGTAGCCATGCAGTGCATCTGGAAATCAGGGTTACTGCCACTGACATAGACTCCTGCTGCAAGGGATTCAAGGACATGTCCTCCTTCATTTTCAGGACATTTTTCCCTTTACAAGGGAAACTAAGAACAATGCTATGTGCAACCCTCTCTGGGTATCACAGAAAGGCAGAATTCTTTTTCTTACTGTCTTCTGCCTTGAGGTATTTACATAGGTTTAGCACCCGTGAAACCCTAATCTGAAATTCAGAAGCATCCAAAAAATGTACTTTGAGAGCTAGGCATGGTGGCACATATCTGTAAGATAGTGAGTTTGAGGCCAGCCTGGGCTGCCAAGTGAGATCCTGTCTCAAAAACAAACGAGACTTTTTGTGTGCCAGCATGTCACCAAGTGGAAAATTCCATATCATGAAATGTCATTTCATACTCAAAATAATTTAAAATACTGCATGAATTTATCTTCAAGCTATGTTTTTAAAGTGTACGTAAAACATAAATGAATTTTGTAGTTGGTATTGGAGCCCATCCCCTAGATACCTCCTTATGCTATCTTCTAAAGTCTGAGACATTGCTTCTGAGCAGTATTTATTTATTTTAAGAGCTTGTGACTCACTGTGTTTTCAAGGCTGGTACTGAATTCTGAATCTTGGCATTGAGATCATCCTAGCTTCTCGAGAGGCTGGTGCTGTAGATGTGTGTACCTCCATGCTTGGCTCCAGACATTTTTGTGTGTTTATGGTGCTAAGGATTTACCATGAGGCCTCGTTCATGCTGGGAATCGCTCTACCATGGAGCTGTACCATAGCCACTCAGTCTCTTCATCTGAATGGTCATCTCAAAACTCAAATACTACCTCAAGGTGGACTGTGTGTGGAGGGTAGATAATGCAGAACACTGATGTCTCCAACATCTGCCTCAGAGAGAATCAGGAAATCTGATTGGAGTTCCTCTTCTGCTCTAAATATGTTTTCCCCTCTTCTAAATCTGCATTAAGGGCCTGGTGGTTCCCAGAGGGGAGGAAAATGGTTAGAACTAATGGTTGATGTAGACAGGCTGTGGGGTCAGACTCCGGAAATGGCCTTAGTAACCAACACGTGTCCGAGTGTTGTGTGTCAGCCATGGAAGACCAAATCGCTTGTATCTTAGATTTAGTTAGCAGGCCGGCATTGGCCTGAGGAGAACGTGCCATGGAAGCACTAATAGTCGATGCCCCACACGACTCCTGGCTCTCTTCCTGTCTGAGAACTAATTCAGTTTTTGAGCAGCAGGGCATTCTGACATCTGATTTGCATCCCGTTCCCTGGTAGCAGTGTGATAACTTAAAGCCCTGCCAAGGCAGATGTATGGGTCGTGTGTCAGGGAGCATGGAGGTGGCCGTTAGTGCTATGAGTTACAGCCCGGGGGTGCCATGTCATAGTTAACTATGGGAGAGTAGTGATAAATTCAGGGCTTCCGGGAGTTCTGGGGACAGGAGAGAAGAGGTGTGGTTTCTCCTGGTTGATGTCCTTCTAAATCATTACGCTGGCATTTTATTTAGAGAGCATAAGGGATTGACTTTGGCTGTGGGACCTGCGTTTCTCACGTTCTTCAGTTCTGCATTCTGCCAGCCATTTGATAGAGCATCTCTCAGTGTGAAGTGGGCCGTTTGAACGTGGCGGGGCTGGGTTTTCACAGTTGTTTAAATTCATTCAGAATCTGCACACTTTGAGGCTGCCCGGGTTTGGGCATTGTTTAGCTACAGAACCCATTGCATGGTGGTTCAGTGTGACGACCACGACGAGGGGTCCTGGCTGCAGAGCCTGCTTGGTAGCTGAAGCTCCGTTCCGCGTGCCTGTTTCCTTGCCTGCAAAAAGCAGGTAGCAATTCTTTTTCTGCTTGGCCAGTGTGGTCCTCATCTAAGTCCAGTGGCGTGCTTGAGAGAGTATGTAAATCTGCAAAGTTCCCGAGGCTGTCAGTTCCTGCCAGGAAGCCCGGGGAACCGCTGTTCTTCATTCCCTCCCTCTCTCCTTCCCTTCCAGGCCTCGTGCAGGGTAGGCCAGCTCTCCACCTCTGAGCTGTACCCTAGCTCTACAGTCAGTCTCATAAAACAGTGTTCTCTTTGCCATGCGGAGACTCAGTGGTGTTTGATTTTCCCCGTCTATTTAAAGAGGATCTCCAGTTCGGATTTAAAGATGATTAATATTTTACCTCTTTTCTTCTGCATGGGGAGGAGGTGATTCAGATAAATCACCATGATTTCCCACTTCTCTGTCCAAGTCATACTTTCTTTTCACGTTTAGCCCAGGAGTACCACTTGTCCCGACAACTGAGCAGCTGCAGGCTGCTCTCTCCTTTTCTGTCTACTTCTGTGTCTGACTCTGGGTTCTGGGAGGGATGTGAAAATGGCTTCTGCGACTGTCTGGAAACAACCTCCCAGCACCCCTAGACATTTCTAAATGGAGTGTTTAAAATAAACAGCTTTATAAAAACAGTACCTAATGAGTTGTAAAAATAAAATAACAGTGACGTAGCTGAGACTTTGACTCATGGTACAGACGTTTAGGAAATCATGCTTATACTTGTCCTTATCACTACAGTTTCTTAGGGAATTTGGTTCTAATGTTTGGGTTTCAGTAAATGCACCATAAATCCTAACTCTGATTATATTAGATTGTTCTCACTCATGTTTACATTAAACACCATGTGGCGTGACTAAGAATCTCGACTCTTGGCTTCAGGCTAGACCATTTGTATATTTGAGTATGTTTCTGCTGTGTTGTGTGGTTCACACAGAGCGATACATACTTTAGAGGGGCTCCAAACTGTCACCATTACTCCTATGGCTCTCTAAAGTCATGAAGATGTGTATATGCTGTGGACAAACATGGAATATACTTCCATTACATGGAAGACACTGTATGTCCCAAAGGAAGAAATGTTCTGTAACAAGCAGGAGAGGGAGGCAGGCTGTCAGTGGTCCTTCAAAATGCCTATAAAGCTTGGACGGCATGCCATAGGGAGCCACAGGGAGCCACAGGGTCTGTGCTCTCTATTGATGACTGCCTAAGTCACTCCGCTCAGTGGGTGATGCTCTTAGCTGCTTATGTTGAGAAAAGGGCACTTTCTAAATATTTCCCCATCCAGGGTTTGTAGTGGTTGAAATGAAAGTCCAGTTCAGTAGTAAAACACGAAGAAGAACTATTTGTTACATACAAAAATAGAGACTTGCATGTTGGTTTGGTCTGTGCAGTTACTATTCTCTGAAATTTGGTGCTTTCCAATGGACACAAGTGACGGTGTATACCAGTTTTGGATTATGCAGCCAGTCCCAAGTTAGCTGTGTACATGCTCCTTGGCTTCCAAAACTGTCTGCTTGTAATGTTATTTCCAGGCTTTTATCACATAAGGAAGGTTTGCTTGGATATAAGGTAAATCTTACTCAATTATGTGGTCATTGTAAGCACATGGATATGTCTACAAGTATAAGAAATCTCAAGAAGGAAGTTTAAGTAACTCAGTGCTGCTCAAAGAGAGCCTTGTTAAGGCTGGGACATCACAGTTCACGTACACTTTTAACTTCTGAAAAACTATATAACATACTCAGTAACTCTCATGGTAAGTATTTATTGGAAATAGTGTAATATCAGCTACATATCATTTTATTATAGGTTTGTACCATAATTTACTTAGCCATCACTCTATTAGCCAGTTGGTTGAATCTGTGTTTAAAAATAATAAATACAGACATTGACAGCTGGGTGTAACGTTTGGGTCTTTCTGTTCCTTTCGAATGGATTCTTAGTTATAGATTTATTGGGCCAAAGTTCCTGTTTAGATTCATGCTGATTCTAATGGGCATTTTCTTTCTAAGCTTCCGAGTTTTTTCCATGCAATATTTATAGTTTAGGTTTGGGGTGTATCAGTGGCTGGGCTGCTGGTTAACCTAACTAGACACTGAGCTCAACCCTCAGCACCCCACATGGAGCCAGAAAAGAACCCTTAATACTCATGTTTCACCAGCTGTCCAGAAAGCAAGCCTGCTGGAGAACCCCTAGCATTTACATTTAATAAACCCCCTTCTTTGGGTGCTCCAGTATCTTAAGAACCACATTAAGCACTACATACAGGTCGGTTCCTGACCTGCTGGCGTTGGGACCTTGTGACTGCCATACCAGCAGCCCTTGGTACCCAGCTGCTTGTGTAAGCGAGTTCAGGGTCGGTTAGAATTCTAGGTAAGGTGCTTCCTGCAGAGGGAGAAAATAGCATGTTTCCAATTTCACAGTTGAACAAAAGTCTCTGGAGAGATATCTTGGCCCTTTAAGACTGTGGTACTCTTACCAAAAGAACTTTCCTCAGGTCTTTCCTGTCTAATTCCAATGTCCCTCTCACAGTTATTGGAAGAGGAGGAGGAGGAGGAGGAGGAGGAGGAGGAGGAGGAGGAGGAGAGAGAGAGAGAGAGAGAGAGAGAGAGAGAGAGAGAGAGAGAGAGAGATGATTGTTGGCTTGTTTCTGTTTCAGGTGTGTGAATATCCGGATGGAACCAAGTCTTTGAAACTGGGAGACTTCGGGCTGGCAACAGTGGTTGAAGGCCCTTTGTACACCGTCTGCGGCACCCCGACTTATGTGGCACCAGAAATCATTGCTGAAACAGGGTGAGATTCTGTCGGTCTCGGGCCATGCCTTGACATCGATGAGAAAGGCACATAGCTGTCCCTGCTGCTTGGTGCTCAGTGGGTCCTGGGAAGAAAGCCTGGGAAGCAGAGAGAGATGTGACCTAAACCATGACCTTGACGTTAAGGAATAGCTTGTTCTTATCTGGCTAAGAGCCCTAGGCCTGTACTTCTGTGCTTTGGTCAGGGTTGGGGGTGGGGACAGTGGTCCCTGATGGTGGTTAGATTGAGAGAAAACAGATGGCTTTTTCAGAGGATGACTCCTGTGACAGGAACGAAGGCAGTTCTTGAGCAACGAGGCACGTGCTCAGGAGGTCAACCCTCACCTGCTCTCCCTTACTCTGTTTTCCAGTTATGGCCTGAAGGTGGATGTTTGGGCAGCTGGCGTGATTACATACATCCTTCTCTGTGGATTCCCCCCATTCCGGAGGTAACTCTATTTGAATTACAAATTCTCAGACACTTAACTCCTGGCAGAAAGGACCCTAAGCTGGTGAATAAAATTACCAGTTTAAAATGATATAAATACACCTTTTGCTATTTATCTTAATTTACAGCCTACAAATGCAAATACATGTTTTTTCCTTGGTGTTTTGGTAAGTATAGATAAAAATTGTGCTTGAACACTGGGATCATGCTTGCATACTCTGCCTCGGGCCTGTGACTAGCCCGACCATACTTCAGATGTGAGGTCTTTGCTTTGTGCATGAACCTGTGAGCTCCTTCTTGGTTTCACACAGACTAGACTTTGCATCTTCTCACTCGTTTTAAAGAAGGGTCGGGCTAAAGCTCCTTGAGTGGAAACCGGGATCGGCCGGGTGTCCTTTTTCAAGTCCCTGGTGTAGGTATTACTTTTCCTTAATTCGAGAGCAGTGTCGTAAACGTCCCGATTTTTATATAAATTTCTAAAGCATTCACCTTCTTGTAAAACCAGTAACTCTTTGTAGTAGTTTTAGCCCTACATGTGCCATTTCTTACCTGAGAAGTGGAGTCACAGAAAATCTTGGCAGCTCCACGCTGGCCTGGTGGGAACAGAGGCGAACACAGGCATGCTTCAGGCCGGCCAGCCCAGTCATGGGTCCAGGGCTGAGCCAGCCACGTTGGCTACAGCTCTTTTGCTCTGTTTCTTCACCTGTTCTGGGCAGGTGACTGACTTGGAAGCATGGTTGCCTTCCTGCCCCTCCCTCACTCTGTCTCAAGGTGAGTGGCTGCCCATGGTGAGCCAGGTACTGTTGTGGTGGCCTAGTGCACAAGCGCCGTCCTCAAAGCTGCGATTTTAGACCCATCTCAGCCACTGTAAGGAACCGCCACAAACTATGTGGCCGATTGAGACTGGAAACTTATTCTCACGATGCTGGAGGCTGGGGGCTTCAAGACCAACACACCAGCAGGTTTGGTGTCTGGTATGGACCTACCTCCTGGGCAAGGCGCAGTCACCTTCTCTGTGTAACTTCGCACAGCAGAAGGAGAAGGCCGACTTCTAGGATCTTCTTACTGTCCTAGCTTTTTTTGTAAATGATGTGGTTTGAGCTTAAGGCTTCATGCTAGGCAAGCCCTCTACCACTGAACTATATCCTCTCCAGGGACTTTCCCAAGAACACTACAGTTTTCTTCATAAAGGCTCTGCCCTCCTAACTCTGGCTGTGTCCCAAAAGCCCACCTCCTAATGCTGTCCAAGTGAGGATTAGGTTTCCCCATAAGGAGTTTTGAGGTGTACACCATGGTGTTTAAGTGTTGCATTGGGCCAGCAAATGAAAAATGGTTTATCTTTTCTTTCCTAACATTTGTTATGAAAACTTCCTGGAGAAAAGGAAGTTTTATTTTTTTTTTCTTTAAATTCTGACATTTTCCATTTGAGTTCTACGGTGATTTAACTGATAATGGCTGTGAGCAGAATGCCACAGAAATGTTAGTCTACTTTGAAGAGCTCCTGGTACAGAGGCATGGAGCACAAGAATAATGACCCAAACCAACTGACTGGGGTGTGCTTGCTTGGCTGGCTCCATGATGGCTAAGCGTAGCGTAAATGTGAAGAAATTACCTAATGGACTCCATGATGTAAGGCGGAAAGGAGGAAGTAGAGGGTGGATCCTATGTGGTTTTTTTTATAGCCACTTGGGGACTGGGATGGTTTGGGTGATGATTTTTGGGGGGAACTAGTCAAATGTAGAAGGATGGTGTATTTGCTGACATGTGATATCTGGACCAGTTAACATGGAGTTCCTCTTCATGACTTACTCAAGTTCATATCAAGGAAAAGGGATTGGGGGGATCAGCATTAGGGAATGTATACTCACAACTCCCTCTAGTGTTTATAGTTTCTGATGCAGCCAGGGAGCGTTGTATTTTTATTGTTATGGACGTGGGTTCAAGTTGGATGTCACTGTCGCTGGAGGGCAGCAGCATTGTTAGATGGAGAGGTGAGTTGAGCTCATTATTAGAACAGCCCACTGCATTCTGAAGAGGCTGCCCAGTGTCAGAAAAACCTATCTCACTTTTACGTTTTAAGAAAATGCTTTTCCTCTTTGCTAGTGAGATAATCTGTGACATGAAACATCTCTTCTAGAAGCATCTTCGACGCACAGACATGTTAGGCAGATTTTACAACCCACTGTTATATAAAAACATACATGAGACATTAAGGATGTGTTGATTTAAATGATTATTATCTAGTTTGGATGGCATAAACTTGGGTATATCTGGGGTTGGGGAGGGAGCTCATTGAGTTGGTAGAGGGCTTTGTGACACATGAAGCCCTTGGTCCAATATCCAGACCCATAATCCCAGCATGCCCATAATCCCAGCACATAGGACTTGGAATCAAGGAAGATGCAAAGTTCAAAGCCATCCTTGGCTATTTAGCAAGTTTGAAGCCATGCTGGGCTATATGAGACCCTGTCTCAAAAAAATAAAAATAAAAATAAAAAAAGCAACAACAGCATATACATATATGTGTATGTATATTAAAGTTCTTTAAGCAAGCATTCCAAGTGCTTTCTTTGTCTTATACGAAGTCGCCTTTAACTGGAAGTTTTTGAACTGAGGTTGTTACTTGGAATTCGCTCTTTCATCATCTGTCACTGAAAGAGAGACTGTTTTCTTCTTAATTTCCTGTTTTATACTCACAGCCCCTTCATCTAAGGGATAGATTGTTTTAGAATAAAAAAGCACCCCAAAGCAGTTCCACCAGACCTTGTAGTATAAATGTGATGATAAATCCAATGTGGATTCAAACGGAGTAGCTGTTTGTACCTAATTACCAGGCACGGTGGACTGTCTGCAGGGAGATGCTCTTCGCTGGGTGCACAGCTCTGATGATTGACAGTGTTGATCCTTGGGGTCCCATTCTAACTGGTTAGCACTCTGGGGTCTCTTGCTGAGTTGGGCTATATTGCTTGGAGTCTGTGGACTGCTGTACATGGCTGTTGCAGATGGACTCCAGCTTTTAGCTGTGTATTGGCTAAATGATGGTCAATATAAGCTACCTTTGACTCCAGGAAAAAAATGAAGGGGGGATGAACAGAGTGATAGGAACAGTTTTGAAAGTAGATTTTATATATGTCTTCTTCTGACATCGTCTGGTGTGCTCTTGCTTCTAAAGGCTTCTGTAAAATTCCGCTGTGTTCTTCAGTTTCACTCTTTGAAGGGGCACTAAACTGATTACAGCAGTGTAAAGGAGAGAGACCATCGTGCTTCCAAAGACATGTGTGTGCACTCACTCTCCAGGCCAGCAGTAATGACTCTTGCCTTGCCTGGTTGTCCCACCCAGCCCTTGCTCCGCAGTGTACCTCTGTCCTTCTGTGTGGACCAGCAGGTGTCTCCCAGTGCGTCCCTTGACTGTAACGGTCAATCGGTCATCAGGCAGACCTAGCTACTGTACCTAGACCCGGCCCTACGTGATCTGTTTCTAAGGACTCCACGCTTGGTGCCCTTTGACAAGGTGGGAACCAAACCTCTAAAAGCTTGGCAGAGATAGCCTAAGAAATGTGAACTCTCCCCAGGTAACTCCTGATGTGTACTCCTGGATTTTAGTTTTGGTCCTGACAGCCTATTCTGAGTTTTCTCTTGGGGCCTGTGGTGGGCCAAGAAAGCTAGACATGTTTCCTGTTTCTAGTCCCATGTTCACATGTGGGAACATCCCACGCCCACACCTTTCCCTTCAGTGGTCACATCCCACTGGCACTTCCATCCACTGTTGAGTGCCACGGATTTGTGAGACACCATGTGTGTGTTTGGGGAAGTGCCAAGCAGCATAGCTTGAGAGACATCCCCTTGAGAGCATTCAAGGTGCGTTGCTTGACTGAGCAAGCCTAGCTGGCATCTTTGGAATATTCTTTCTCTGAGACTGAGCACACAGGAAAGTCGAGTTGTGGTGGGGAGCGAGTCAGCGTCATGATTTCTTAAATCTAGGTTCTGAACTCTGTATGATTTTCAATAATCTTGGCGTTTTGTTGAAAAAGTAGAAAAAGGTTGAGTAGAGGCTGCTTTTGTGCTGTTAGAGGCATGAGCCATGGGGGAATGCCAGTCTTCCCCATGGTTTCCATTATCTGTAATTTTCTCTCTCTCTCTCTCTCTCTCTCTCTCCACACACACACACATACACACACACACACACACACACACACACACACACACACACACACACACACACACACATTTTTCTCCCCAAGATGGGCTCTGGCTATGTTTCTTTGGTTGGTCTTGAACCTCTGGGCTCAAGTAATAATATTGCCTCAGCTCTCCAAGTATCTGGTACTACAGGGACATGCCCCAACACCTGGCTTTCATTTTAACCCTTTATAAGCACCCTTTGTGGGGCATTAAGTGCACAGCCATTCATACCATCCACTGCTGGAACCTCATCTTTCTAAACTGAAACACTCTGCTTGGGTCATTTTCTGTCTCTCTGGTTCCCAGGCCTAGGAAGTGTCCTTTGGCTCATTGTCCAGAAGGAAAATTCTGTTGTCACCATGCAGCTATGACCCACAGCTGAGCCTTGACTCCGACCCATTGCCCAGAGACTCCTAGTGACTCTAATTTTTCCCATTTCTTTGTCACTAGTGAGAACAATCTCCAGGAAGATCTCTTTGACCAGATCTTGGCTGGGAAGCTGGAGTTTCCAGCCCCCTACTGGGACAACATTACAGATTCTGCCAAGGTACTGTGCAGGGTTCTTCCTGTATACACTGCAGGGGGCTGAGTGTGGGGCTGAGCAGCCCCAGCTTGGGCTCAGAGACTTGACTTTTAATGTGTGGTCTTTTGGTAAGTGTACCCTATAGTATAGTCTCTGAAGTCGCTAATTAGATCCACACCTGGACCACAGTGCTCCTCTAATGTCGATAAACGTTCACGCCTTTCTTTCTTAAAGAAGTGTATGTTGGGCGCTCCTCACAATATAATAATGAATGAATAAACTAAGTGATGGAAGGGAACGCAGTATCCTACTGTGGAGTGGAGATAAAAAAAACTCAGGGGAGACTTATACACTTCTGGCCCGGGCCGTGGATGTGGGCCATGTCTCAGCTCTGCAAGTGTGGGTGGTTGGCTTCATGCGCCGTGGCTGAGCTGCTGGGTTGACTCTTGATGTCTGTATTTATGCCGGGATTCCCCTCTTTGTCCTCTGTGGTCTCCTCCCCCTCCCCTTCCCTCCCCTTCCCTCCCCTTTCTCCCCTTTATAGGAATTAATCAGTCAAATGCTTCAGGTAAACGTTGAAGCTCGCTGTACTGCGGGGGAGATTCTGAGTCACCCCTGGGTGTCCGTAAGTACCCACATTCCCAGGGATTTATATTGTATGGCCAGCAGCATGCTCCCTTCCTTGTGTGTGTTTCCCACAGAGAGAGTTGGGCAAACACATTCTACAGCAGATAAAATGTCTATCCTAATGACCAAGTAGTGTGGGAGAAGATGGCTGACTCCCGAGTCCTCCATCTGCTCAGTGAGTAATCTGGATAGTCTGTCCCTTGCTGGATCTCAGTTTACTATCTGCGAAGTGATGAGGTTGGCCATGATGCCCCTTAAGGGTCCCCCTGTGGCTTCTTTCTAGTTGTGGGGTTTATGTTTCCCCAGAGGTGAACATGTTTCAGACTGTGACTCTGTATCCTCATGGCATGCAGTCCTCCTGTGGACTGGAAAGAGAGACATCTCTTCCAGAGGTGGCAGAGAAGATGTGCTGGTCACATGCTCCCTCTCGAGGTCAACTCCTGAATACTGGGTTAACTAGCCCCAAGGCCATGTCACTGTATACCTCCTCCACCCTGCACACTGCTTCCCTGCTGAGTGACTAATGGAGAAGATGCCAGTCTCTGTGAGAATTAGGGCTGTCAGCTGAGGGACTTTTGTACTGGGGCATGTTCTCTGCTTCTTTGTTCTTGTAACCTAAGAAGTGGGTCAAACATTAGGCTCAAGCCACATTCCCTCCTCAGCCTGCCCATCACCAGAGCTACAGCAAGCCATCACCACACCAGACACACCTTCTTGATTAAAATGATAAGCTGTTCATTTTTGTATTTCCATGGGAAGACTTGTGTTATAGGTGTCCCGGGAGAGGGTCTCAGAAACCCAAACAATGCCATCCTTCCTTTCCTGGAGACCTGTGCTTTCTCCTGGGTCAGAGGTGGGAATGGATGGCACAGTGCCTTTCTGAAGGCAGGAGGCTCTGCAGAATGTTGTGTGTCTCTGCCACGCTGAGGATGGAGTCCAGGGTCTAAGGCATGCTAGTCTGGTGCTCTTCCACAGCGCTGTACAGAGGCAGCAATGACCTTCGAAAGAACTGAACAACTTCTTGTGGTTGAGAGGAGCCTGTTCAGGAAAGGGTCCTTAGGTTGATGGTCGGGGGAGGGGCCGTAACTGTAGAGAACCGATGAAGTGTTAAGGGTCCAGAGTCAATTGTATTTGTTTTTCTTCTTTTCTGTAGGATGACGCATCCCAGGAGAATAATATGCAGGCTGAGGTTACAGGTAAACTAAAACGGCACTTTAATAATGCGCTCCCCAAACAGAACAGCACCGCCACAGGGGTCTCCGTTATCATGGTAAGTGGGATGCAGAGCTCTGCCCCAGAGAACTGGGGGCATCTGGCCTGGCTGCTGAGCTGGAGTTGTCTCTGGACTAGATAGCCAGGGTTCCACCCATGGAAGCCGGTGTCTTCCATGTTCCCGTTTTCCTGGGAGGATTGACTGGCATGCGAAGGTGCTTCCAGCCCTACCCCTGACTCTGCATGGCAGGCTAGAGGCTGGTAGGTGACGTGGAAGCCATAGTGATAGGTAGGTGCAGGGAGCGCCTGGGCTTGGGGCTTCCTGGGCAGTTGCTGGCCCTCTCCTACCTGCTGCTACATCTAGGGAGAGATTGCCAGGCAGCCCTGCAGGCTGGGCCCCGTAAGGCAGTAAGGCCCTGCCTCCTCCAGGCTCATGATTCTTGGATATGTGATTTCCTTGGGACTTGGCATAAGAAACAGCCAAGTTAACAAACGTCCCCTTTTAAAGACAGTGTTTAATTAAAAAAAAAAAATTGGTGTATTTTTAAAGCCATAGAAGAATACTTTTTTTTTTTAAAAAAATTAGTTTTTCATGGTTAAAATCTTATATAAAAAAAGTAGCAATGATCCTATTTTTGCACTTCTTCCAAACTACTTAAGACCACATATCTAAATATTTAAACACATCAAATGAAAACCAAAAGAAAATATAGGACAGAAAAAGAAAACACGAGCAAGGTCATTAATTTCCAGCTCCGGCTGCCCAGGCTGGAGCTCTTGTGAAGTGGGCCTGGGAGTCGCTCCGAGCATCTCCCACCTGCTACTCAGCCAGGGCATCTCCAGCATCAGGGCAAGGGGCATGGGCCCCGGGAAGCACCCTCTTGCGAGGGGCAGTGGCCTGCAATGGGCCGTCTCAGCAGCTCTGTCCCCTTCTAGAGCAGCCTCTTGCCACCTGGGAAAGGTTCTCTGTCAGGTGAATGTGGGCGTCCAGGAAGCCACAGCCTGCACATTCCCCTTATGGACATGAACACTGCTGTTGGTGAAGCCCCTGCTCCTTCCTGGGACCTGCTGGTCTGTGGTGCTATGCCTTCCTCCAGGGAGGCTGGGTTCATTTGGTAGGCTCCCTCCCATTGTCCTTGTAACGTCCTGTGCCCCGTGCTGGGGACTGTGTGCCCCCTTTCTTCCCCGGGCACAGCTTGTGTCTACAGACTGGACTTTGCGCCATCTTGTAGGACTTTGGGATGCTCCATGTCGAACCCCGGAAGAGTGGAGTTGTGGTTTTTCTTTCCGCCGTGGCAGTGTCTTACAAAAAACCCGAGAAAGTCTGAGAGGTCACAGAATTCCGGCTTCTGAGTTGAAAAGAACCATCCCTGTTGAGCTGACCGCAGGAGGCCCCTTCCAGGGATATTTTGAGACCTCCCCCATGAGCAGAAGCAGTATGCATTTGTACCATGTATGGTGGTGTAGGCAGCTTCTGAGGAAGTGGAAACCACGAAGAGTCAACGTTTGTGCTGGGGTGCAGTGGGTGTGCTTACATGTGTGTAGGCCTAACAACATACTCAGTATCTAGTAAAGTCTTCAAGAGAATCTGTTGCAATCAGATTTCATATGATACGTTGATTGGCTTTCTAATCTTCTGAGAGGTGTAAGCCTTGCAGCCCTGTAGGAGAATTTACCCAGTGGCTCACTGGAATCCATGGCCATAGGCCTGGGCCCTGCCTCCTGACCACTGAAGCTCAGCTGAGGTCCTAGAGTGATTGACAGTCCTCCCGGGGGCCAAGTATAAGCTGTGTTCTGGGTAATAATGCAGAGAACCTCTCATCACTTAGCAACAGCAGTTTCCTCTTGCTAATGGAGTTAGTCAGATGTCAAACCCTCTGTTTTAATGGGGTGTTCTGTGAAAGAACAACCCTTAGGAAGGGGACTGAATAAAAATTGCGTGTTGACGTATGTGCAGGAGCCGTTTGGCACATGTTGGTGGTGACATCCAGCTCACCTGGGTTCTCTGCATAAGCCTGCAGATGGTGAGCACTAAGGAACTGCCAATGGTATCATTGCATTCAGGATCTCCTGGAGATACTCCTGGGACTCTTTTCTGGCAGTCTCTGTTCTCAGTGGTTCAAAGCCAGCCTGCCAAATTTGACCTATTCCTCAAAAGTAGTTGAAGGCTTCTTGCTTGTCTGTCCCCCAGTCAGGGCTGAGCCTAGGTGTGGTTGCAGGGTAGGGCGTATGTAACACTTGGGGCCCTCCATCATGTTATGACTGTGCATCGAGGCATCTCATTCCTGCGGACAGTTTTAAATTATTTTTATATTGAAAATAACCACAGAATGCCCGTCTCCGGCATTAATTTGTCATTACTGAGTATATGGTCTCAGAAGCAGAAGAGCAGGGTGTGTTTTACAGCTGAAATGCTGATGACCTCTGTGCATAACTTAAAGATGGGGGCCTTGCCTTGTGCCACCCCAGCATTGTCCCCAAAGTAGGTACCCAGGCAGCAGTGGTAGGGTAGGGACTGATTAATAAAGGCGAGGGACAGGGAAGCTGATGCTGATGTCTGCGTTTCATTTGACAGTTTGATTTGACAGTTTGAGAGACACCTCACAGAGAGAGTCCCGCTCTTTCCCCAGTTGAGACATGGGAAATCCCGAAGCAGACCCTGGTATTCAACATACTGTATTCGTGGGAGCCCCCCCTAATTCTCAGCCCCTCTTCCAACTGCATGCTTGTCTCAGACTTCTGACCCTCGGCTTCCTACTGGTATGGGTCCTCTGAACCACTGACCTCCTTCTGGCCAGCCCAGCACAGCCCAGCACAGCCCAGCACAGCACGCCTTTGGGGAGCTTCGTGTCAGACTTCTCAGCTTGTCAGCCTTTGCTTTCCTGCTCAGAGCGGGCTTCCAGCCGTCCTGTGCCCTGCTCCTGTTCACATAGTGACAGTCCTGTGCCCTGCTCCTGTTCACATAGTGACAGTCCTGTGCCCTGCTCCTGTTCACATAGTGACAGTCCTGTGCCCTGCTCCTGTTCACATAGGTGACAGTCCTGTGCCCTGCTCCTGTTTATATAGGTGACAGTCCTGTGCCCTGCTCCTGTTTATATAGGTGACAGTCCTGTGCCCTGCTCCTGTTCACATAGGTGACAGTCCTGTGCCCTGCTCCTGTTTATATAGGTGACAGTCCCGTGCCCTGCTCCTGTTTATATAGGTGACAGTCCCGTGCCCTGCTCCTGTTTATATAGGTGACAGTCCCGTGCCCTGCTCCTGTTTATATAGGTGACAGTCCCGTGCCCTGCTCCTGTTTATATAGGTGACAGTCCCGTGCCCTGCTCCTGTTTATATAGGTGACAGTCCCGTGCCCTGCTCCTGTTTATATAGGTGACAGTCCCGTGCCCTGCTCCTGTTTATATAGGTGACAGTCCTGTGCCCTGCTCCTGTTTATATAGGTGACAGTCCTGTGCCCTGCTCTTGTTTATATAGGTGACAGTCCTGTGCCTGCTCCTGTTTATATAGGTGACAGTCCTGTGCCTGCTCCCATTTACATAGGTCAAGGGCATCTTTCTGGAAATGACAGCAGGAGATGCATGTCTTTGTGAGGTTTTTGTGCTTTGTCAAGAGCTGCTGCGTTTATCAGTAAGACACCGTGTGCCAGCCGGCCTCTAGGAAAGGGACGTGATCACATTGGAGAGAGTTTCAGAGAGGCCGACGGCTCTGTGCCACGCTCTGCCTCTCCCCGACAGTCCTCAGCATGCAGATGAAGGAGAGTGTATTTGGGAGGTGGCTGCTTTGTCCCAGTGAGGCACAAAGCCTCAGCGACCAGAGGGGCCATCTTGTGGCAGAGAAGGGAAAGACAAGGCACCTCCTTCCCTGGTCTTGCAGAGGAGGAATGTCGCCAGATGTACATTCTCTCCACCCCAGGGGGCGCTCTGCTGACTTGTAGGGGGTGATGGTGGTGATTCGGGGTTACTGTTTGGATCGTGTTGCTTCTGTTGAAAGTAAGTCTGGTTTCTGTCCCTGCTTCTCTCCCTTCCTGCCTCTCTGCTGCTGCATTGCTTCCCCTGACTAGGTCCAAGGCCATGGTATGTACTAACTGCACGGCCAGCTTCCGTCTGCGCGCACGCTCCTGTTCCTGTGGCCAGAAGAGAAGAGGGGAAAGAGCTAGGGGGTGTGGCTTGCTTCTACCCTGGAGAAAGTTCAGGATAGAAGCAAGTGCTGCCTGCCTTGTGGGTGTGTGGGTGTGTGGGTGTGGAGGGGAGGCTCAGGAGGGCAGAGTGGCCGGCCTGGTCCCAGCAGCTCAGGAGCTAAGTTTCAGGCCAGGCTTTACCCACTCACCCAGTTAGCTGCCGCTGTCCCCAGCTTGAGGTTGGCAGGAGCTGTGGGGAACGCAACCCACGCTGCCTGTCTTGAGAAGCCTCGATACCTGTTCTCTCCTCCATCCTTTTTTTTTATTTTTAAATCTGTGTTATGGTACTGGAAGAATCAATGGGACACTCCCCTGCCTTGGGAGTTAGACTGCAGAATGCCTCCCGGTCCGTTCATCTTTGAGCTGAAGATGGTACCCAAGACCCACTGTCTCCCCACCTTTAGGGAACCCAGTGAAGTGGCCGTTGCTGGCTCCCAGGGCACCCAGGCTCCAGTGAAGCAAAGGAGACTCCATGCCTGGGGACCCCCAGCAAGGTTCAGAAGGAAGTGCTTCCTCCGAGGGCCTCTGTGCCCTTGAGGGGTTGAGTAGATGAATAATGCAGGGGTCCAGCAGGTGCAGGCTCTCTCACAGGGAGAGGGGCAGGCAAAGATACCGTGGAGAGTCCATGTGGCTGCACCCCAGTGGATTCCTGGGCATATTACAGATGCCCTTCGGTTGTAAGGGCGTTGTTTATTTCTGACATGTAAGGGCCACCTATCTGTGACAAGAGCTTCCTTTAGATAACTCTACTAGTGTACTAGGGCAGCTGGCAGAGACTGGCCGTCGTCCAGCACTCTGGGTGTGGGTGTGGGCCAGACACTCAGAATTCAGGTGCAGCTCACAGCAGGTTCACTCAGGCCGCCTTGTGCAGGCCAGCCACGTTTCCCGCCACTCCTCCCCAGCTCCCAGCACAGGCTGTGATAAGGGCAGAGGCGAAGGGCAGCTGCTGGGATGGGGTGGGGGCTGGGGGAGTGGGGCTCAGTTCCCTTTAGACGTCCGCTGGAGGTCTGGTGAATTTCTCCTCTTCTGTTTCTGTGTCCTGTGCTTGCATGCTGTGTCCTGCTTTCTGGTTCTGGGAGTGTGATGGAGCCAGGCCTGGATAATGTGGTGTCTCTGCCGCTCTCTCCCCAGAACACGGCTCTAGATAAAGAGGGGCAGATTTTCTGCAGCAAGCACTGTCAAGACAGCAGCAAACCCGCCAGGGAGCGGACCTCGCCAGTCCCTCCCCCAGCCCGGGAGGCCCCTCCCCCAACCCGGGAGGCCCCTCCCCCAGCCCGGGAGGCCCCTCCCCCAGCGGAGTCTCCCAAGCCCCCTCGGCCTCCAGCCGCCTCTGGCTGTGATCCTGCAGGGACCTGGCGCCGCCACCGAGACTGAACTCTGTGTAGACAGGCCCGAAGCTGCTCGCCGCCGCCTGCCAGGAAGGCCACTCTTCACCAGGCCTCATCTCCTTGCTGAAAGAGCCTTTCTGTCCTGACTGCTGTTTTGACAGTTTGTTGGCATGTTCTGTCACGGCCTGGGAACAGGACTGGGGTATCCTGGAGCCGGTGTTCAGGATGGCCTCGTGTACCCTGGGTTCTGCCCTCTCTAGTTCCTGGCCATGTCAAGCCATGTCAGTTGTGGAGACATATTTGGAGTGACTCATTTTAAATCAGCCGTGTTTCTAGTTCAGTAGACAATTGGCCGCTTTACCCAGAGAATGTGCAACTTTTATCTGGAATTACATTCTTTTTATAGAACTGCATCGGATGAACTAGGATTCTCCTACTGAAGGATACTCCAAGTGCACCCTTCTCACGGGGGACACAGTTGTGATTGTTCCTTTGTAATGTCCTGTGAGAAGCAACATGGCCGCCTCCTCTTCATAGGAAGCCTGAGGCTCCTGGCTTCTGAATAGAAGAACTGATCGCCCTCCGATTCCTGACTTAGGGAATGCATCCTGATGCCCCAGGAAGCAGCTCCCCTCTGGCTGGGGTGCAGGGCTCACAGACCTGTCAGACACGCCCTCAGTTTCCCCTAACTTTCCCTACACATGTATTAATAAACGCTTATGAAATTGGCCTGGGGCTTTTCAGTGGACTGTGCAGCGGCTCTTGGAAGAGCAGGATGAGCTTGACTGCGTCCCCCCCAGGGGCTCCTCCCCCTCTGCTGTCTGTGAAGAGCACTCTAAAGCCATGGCAGGTCTGCTGAGACCCAGCGGGGACTGGGGCGCATGGTGCTCCTTGAATGCCCTGTGACAACCTTCTGGAAGGCTGCTGGCAGTTTTCCCTTTTGTTCCACCGCCCTACTCTTTTTAATAATTGTATATAACTGTGTATTGTTTTACCTGCTTGTCTTCTAAACGGGCGGGCACTACAGTTCACTCCCTTTGTTAGATTTTTGCCTTCTCCAAGTATCCCCAACCTGCAATAAACTCCTCCCTCTTCGGAAAAGCCATGGGGTGGGCAGAGGTTTCTGTGTGGTTGATTTGGACAGTGCATGTGATCAGAGCACCTCTCCTTGGTCCAGACCCTCGGGGGCCAGTGTCTGGGGGCCACTACTGCAAGAGCACACAGATCTTTGCCTGGGCTGAAGTGTATGTGAGCCCAGGTGCTGAGACTCGGGACCAAAGCACCAAAAGAAGCAAGTTGTTCAGAGAGGGAGCTAGGGACAATCAGAAAAGTTGGGGCTCAGAGAAAGTGGGCTGGAGTGGCTTCCCATGCCTGTCCTGGCTGGGGCCCCGCTTCTCTCTGACTTGTGAGTTACAAGTTTCCCTGTGAGGCCCGGCTTTCTGCTTGTGACATGGCTCATCTGTGGCTCTGGTTACCCAGAGCTGTCTCTGTCACCTTCTTGGAGCTTTACAACGGTCCGGCTGGAAACCCCTGGCCAGGCTCCGGATCTCTCGGTTCACGATGCTGAGGGAATGAGACGGTGGATGGCCCGCTGGTCCTGGGTTCCACCCAGAGCTGTAGCAAACACAGGAGGAAGAAGTGTTGAAGAACACTGCGAGCTGCAGGGTTAAAACATTTTGCATGTGTCTCTTCAGAAACTGGTTAAAAAAAGATTGAGTCTTAATTATGTGTGTGCCTGCCTGTGTGCATGCAAATGCATTGTCCATGGAGTCCAGAAGAGGGCAGCAAATCTGAAGCTGGAGTTCCATGCAGGTGTGAGCTGCCAGACGTGGGTGGGTGCTGGGAATTATCATACTCTGGTCCTCTGGAAGAACAGTAAGTTCTTTTAACCTCTGAGCCATCTCTCCTGCACCAAGAACAAGATTTTTCATAGCCTTGTGGCTGTTTCGTTTTCAGAGAGGGGAAGAGTTAATGCAGAAGAAGAAAAAGGGCAGGTGGTGGCCAGGGTGCCTGTTGCTGATCACAGCACAGCCTCCTCCCTCTTGGCTGTGGTGCTGCTAATGTGAGCTCAAGACTGAGTGCGTGGTCAGGGCAGGGCCCACCTGTGTCAGGGAAGAAGATTCCTTGTTCAGCATGTGCCCTCCGTTTGTCCCTGGGGGAGGCAGGCAGAGTTGGGGAAGCCCCACAGCCTCACAGTCCTTCCCTGGTAGGTAGGATCCCTGGGAAGCCCAGAGCAGACAAGGTGAAGGAACAAGCCGGTAGGCACCCGGGCCAAAACCAAGGACCTAGCAGGAAGGATGGCTGTGGCTGTGCCCCACTGCTGAGCTGGTGTCCACCCAAGCAGCAAGGCTGGGGAAGGGTTGGGGAAGGCCACACAGTTCCTCTGTCCACCTGCTGCGTCAACAATTAGAAGCTGAAATTCTGTTCTCACAATCCAAATTAAATACAGGTACTTTATTTCTGGCTGTTCACATCCTGTTGAGAGAGTGGTATGTGCCTGTTCAGACTCATTCTCCTCCCGAAGAGGGGCAGTGTCGGGGGGAGGGGGGGGGTAAACTTGGATGGTGGCAGATTAATGCAAGTCAACGCCATGGGAAGTGGGTACCTGATACTCTCCACAGCTGCGGGGGAAATGTGTTACGTGTGTTCATTAAATGCATTTGATAAAACACCCAGAATCTCATCATGGCTAAGAGTATGCAACTTAGGAGATGGGACAGTTTGGGATGGAGTAACCATAGTGAAAGAAAGTGCTGACCAATGTCTTGTAGAAAATGCTAGAGCCGTATACCATCCCATGGAAATATATACTATTTATCACTTGTAACGTTAACGTTTTCATAGTACATTAAAAATTTAAAAGGAACAGGTAAAGTACATCTTGTGGCATATTTTATTTAACCTAACATCTAAACATATCCAAAGTATTATTTCAACACATAGTCAGCATCAACAAAAGCTGGGGGATATTTTACCTTCTTGTGTGGTGAGTCTGCAATCTGGAGTGTGTTTACATTCACAGTACATCCCAATCTGGACTCCAAACATTTTAAGTGTTTAAAAGCCACGTGGTCCTAGCAGATGCCACTACAGTTCCGCTCCACAGACAAGCCGTGGCTCTTACCATTAGTTCTAGGTGAGTCTGGTTTTGTTTTCAGACGCTGTGTGTGACAGGTAGAGAGAAGGCCCCTCTGTCATTTTAAATGAAAGAGGTTCATGGTAAGCATGGCGGAAGGTGAAAGCTCTGTGGTGTGAAACGACAGTGTGTACTCCTCACTCACCCTGTGACTGTACTTCAAGTGGAGGTGCTAGGCATGGGAACAGCTGTCGCCGACTTGTTGGGGACCAGTTGCTGCTTCCAAAGTAGTGTTCGTTCACCCACCACCTCAGGAATGTGTGCAGGCCCCGGGCACACTCGCTGGGTAGCCCTGTCGGAACAGCTCTGCTGTGGGACCTTGGAGTATGTCTGCAGGTGAGAGCATGTGAGGGCTTTGTTACCCAGGGCTGCTAGGAGCATCAGACAGACAAAAACCTACCTTCTAGAACTCTAGGCACATGCTTGCTGCCCTCAGGTACAAGAGCTGTTCTTTGCAGGCTGCAGGCCTGTGTCTTCCCTGGGTGTGAGCCTGAGGTTGATGTGTGAGAACTACAGTGAGTCAGATTCCAGTGTATGTGTGTCACGTGTGGAGTCACGTGAGGTTCTAACGGGGGTCAGTGGCAGGGTCAGCTGCTTCCTGAAGGATTCAAGCTCTGGAAATGCCCAGATGGCAGGCGATAGACCCACAAGGACACAGTGCACTACGTTTTCAACCTGATTTGAGTGTTGCACATCCAAGGGGAAGAAAAACGAGTGTATGGAGCCGTTCACCTTTGCCATGCTCTTAAACGTGAGCCCTTTCATGGCTGGTGGGGCTGGGCCTTTGCTGCTCCAGAGGCCTCCTGTTGGGCAGGGATCAGGATGTCTTCATCTCCATGGACTGATCTGGCAGGCTTGATCGGCAGCCTGTCAGTGTGGGGGCTGTCACTGGATCTCAGCTTCATTTTTTCAAGTGATCCAAGTCCAAAGCTGTAGACGAGCTGCCGCTGTTTCTTGCAGGTATCTGCACATACTGGTCCCGTCCAACTCCTCCAAAAAGCTTAGTTTTAGCAGGGAAAAAGATCCCGACCTTGAGACGAAAATGATTCACTTTATGTTTCAGGTATGTAATCATGGAGACTCCCAAGTGGTGTCTCCTGGGTGTCATCATCTTCCCTGACCTGAGAAGCTAGACTGTCTCAGAGGATGTGGCCTGCCTGAAAGCCGAAACACCCGATGCCATTCAAGAGAGGGGCTTGGTGTGCTGTGTTTTGGGGAAATTTCTGTTTCTGGTAGCCAGGAGCAGGAGTGGGCATCACTGTGAACAAGCTGGTGAGGTGGCACACACCTGTAGCCCCAGCTTAAGTCCAGGAGCTCCACAGGAGCCTGGGCAACATAGCAAGACCGGTCTCAGATGCACGTTTAGCTTTGGGGTTTTATTTATTTGTTTGTTTATTTTTGAGACAAGGTTTCTCTGTGTAGCCCTGGCTGTCCTCAAACTCAGAGATCTGCCTGCCTCCACCTCCTGATCACTGGGATTAAAGGCATGTGCCACTCTGCATGGCTAGTTTTGAGTTTTTAAATAATCTTATGATTACAAGGAACCAAGAAAAATGCCATGAACTCAATTTTTAAAATATTTTTCCACCCCTGAAACAAAGTTTCACTATGTACAGCTCTGGCTGGCCTCAAACAGTATCTCCTGCCTTAGCTTTCCCAGTCCTGGGGTGATAGAAATGTATCACCATGCTTGGCTTCAAATCCCACTGAAAAATAACTCCTGAAGATGTTTCTTCCTTTCTAGTCTGTCAAATAGAACTTTACAACATTGTTTTGCTTTGCTCTTTTTCTGCCATTAAATGATCTTTCTCACAGTGGGATGGTTTGGAACCTCTTAGCTCTTGTGCTTCTGGCAACAATAATTCGTGAAGCCGACAGGATTAGACCTTCTGCGCGAGTACCTCCCCTGCTAGCTGTCCTAGTTAAAGTAGGGAAGGTTCCCTGTCACTGAGGCAGGGCGGAAGTGACCAGTTAGAAGCACAGGTGTATTTGGCTATTTGTATATTTATGCAGATTCTGGTTTGAACCTTTGACTGAACATTCTCTGGCCTAATGGGACTTGAGTCACGTGATGAGGCTGTGGCGAGGGTGCTGATCCACAGCCTAACTCACTAGAGCTGGTGAGCCTCACAAAGCTCTGCAGTGGGTCCTGTCTGCTGGAAGGAAACGAGCTTTTGCTGCTGACCCGACCAGAATCCTGGCATCACTGGTGCGCTGTGTTCTTCACAGGGTGGAGAGCAGGGCAGGACTGACACATACACATTCCCAAACTGTGATCGGTGTGGCCAGAAGCTCTTGAAATCACATCCAGTAAGAGTGCAGGGAAGGTCACGGTGCAGGTCTCAGCCCACCAGCCTGTCAGCCGGTTTAAACTGCTGCCTCCTGTTTTTTTTTTTTTTTTTTTTTTTTTTTTTAAGATTTATTAATTTATCATGTATACAGCATGTATGCCTGCAGGCCAGAAGTGGGCACCAGATCTCATTACAGATGGTTGTGAGCCACCACGTGGTTGCTGGGAATTGAATTCAGGACCTCTGGAAGAGCAGTCAGTGCTCTTAACCTCTGAGCCATCTCTCCAGCCCCCTGCCTCCTGGTTTTTAAGATCTATGTCTAGTTATGTGTGTCTGTGGGTGGGAGTGCAGGTGCTGTGGGATGGTCTGTATGTCAAATGTGTTGCTGATTGGTCAATGAATAAATCACTAATTGGCCCGTGGCCAGGCAGGAAGTATAGGCGGGACAAGGAGGAGAATAGAGCTGGGAAGTGGAAAGCTGAGTCAGAGAGACACTGCCAGCCGCCATCAGGACAAGGAAGATGTAAAGTACCGGTAAGCCACAAGCCACGTGGCAAGGTATAGATTAATAGAAATGGATTAAGCTGTAAGAACAGTTAGCAAGAAGCCTGCCACGGCCATACAGTTTGAAACCAATATAAGTCTCTATGTTTATTTGATCGGGTTTGAGCGGCTTGGGACTGGCGGGTGAGAGAGATTTGTCCTGACTGTGGGCCAGGCAGGAAAACTCTAGCTACAAATGGCGCCCAACGTGGGGCAAGAGTTTCCACCTAAAAACTAAAAAAAAAAAAAAAAAAAAAGATTCTTAAACGGAACTAAAAACAACTTCCTAATTGTCTCTCTCAAATGAACGACAGCTGCCGGTTTGAGCTACTGGCGGGTTGCTGGCGTGCGCGCTCGACCTGCAGTATGGCGGGAATGAGGCCTCTGCAAGTGGCACATTAAGCTACATTGTGGATTTAGCCTTTGCTAGTACAAAACAAAAAAAGAGGTTTCTGGGCTACATGCTGCTTGGATAAAAGCATAGACCCACGATGGCTCCCAGAGCTGGCGGTAAGCATACCGCCGCCATGTTGGGAAGCTAAGGTGGGCGGAGCCAGCAGCCACAGCAGCTGCAGCTTAAAGCAACAGATTCACAATAAGACAGATTCAGATATAATAGTTTAAAATATGTATAAAATATACGTAGGCTTAAAAGAGACAAAAAAGGTGATATATACAGTATAAAAACAAATACATAGTTTTAAAAAATAAAGTCTTTAAAGAGACAGTAAAGGTAGTATAAAAAATAAGCCACGTAAAAATGGATATTACACAGAGAATCTGGATTGTGTTGTCTTTGGGATTTTTAACTGCAAAAAAACATTTGATTATAAAAGCTGTTGAGTTAAACCAATATATATATTTTAAAGATACTTTGACTTCAAAATTTGGATGTAAGGACATGTTGCTTTGAAAAAGAGTCTCTTTTGTTTCCACAGAAAACAAGAGGCTATGGATTTGTTCCAGAGTAAGATACATCAGGTTTGACCAGCCAAGACCCCCTGAAAGGTCTCCGATGACACCATGGCCCAGATGATCCAACATCCAGAACCGTTTCAAGACAACTGGCTCAGATGATACAGCCTCACGGACTACTCCATGATCCTAAAATTTTCTTTGTTTCCCCAGAAGATACAGCGCCCCCCTCCAGCAGGAAGTAGTAAGAAAAGCTACGCCCAAATTCCCAAATATACCAAGCTGACTTTGGAGATGTGTAAAGGTTAAAACCTTCCTTTTTAAGAAAAGAAAAGGGGAGGTGCTGTGGGATGGTCTGTATGTCAAATGTGTTGCTGATTGGTCAATGAATAAATCACTAATTGGCCCGTGGCCAGGCAGGAAGTATAGGCGGGACAAGGAGGAGAATAGAGCTGGGAAGTGGAAAGCTGAGTCAGAGAGACACTGCCAGCCGCCATCAGGACAAGGAAGATGTAAAGTACCGGTAAGCCACAAGCCACGTGGCAAGGTATAGATTAATAGAAATGGATTAAGCTGTAAGAACAGTTAGCAAGAAGCCTGCCACGGCCATACAGTTTGAAACCAATATAAGTCTCTATGTTTATTTGATCGGGTTTGAGCGGCTTGGGACTGGCGGGTGAGAGAGATTTGTCCTGACTGTGGGCCAGGCAGGAAAACTCTAGCTACATGCAGGTGCCCTCTGAGAAGAGATTTTGGATGTACTGGATCTGGAGTTACACGATCTGTGAGCTGTCTGACGTGGGTGATGGGAAGCAGACTCAGGTTCTATGGAAGGGCAGTCTCAGCCTTGACTGCTGAGCCGCCTCACCAGCCTGCCACCTCCTGTTTTTAACATTGCTGCATTGGCTGGAAAGAGTGGGTGGAGCCAGCATGCACGAAGGAAATACTTGGCCATTTCATGTAAACCTGACTTGCATGGCCGCTGCCACTGTGCTATTCTTGACAGCATAGGAGAAAGACAGTAGTGCCAGGTTCACATGGTCAGTCCCATTAGCCTTGACTCTGAGTTGCCCATTTCCTGAAGCCTCTCCTGGTTCCCATGGAAGCAGGGTAGTCTCTTGTATCATCTTCTGTTAGTGGACTTCTCCGTCCCACCAGACAATTCCAAATAACCACTCAGAGTCTTAATATTATAGATGCTCAGCCGATAGCTCAGGCTTGTTATTAGCTAACTCTTACATTTTAAATTAACCCATCTCTCTTATCTACCCTCTGCCACGTAGCAGTACTTTCTTTCAACACAATGTGCTCATCTTGATTCTCACTGCATCTGCTCGGGACTACCGAGACTCCGCCCTTCTTCCCGGCATCCTCTGTGTCGTCTTGTCCCACCTATACCTCCTACCTAGCTACCTGCTGGTCAGCTCTTTTACTAAACTAATCAGAAGGTGCCTTGGCAAAGACACATCTTCACAGTGTACAAAAAGATTATTCCACAACAGTCTTCCTGTATTATTTGCTAAGTAGAAATGGAAGTATGGTGTCTCATTGGTAAGCAAAGTAGGTCCTCTTTGGAATCATAAAACCATTTACTTCTAGGTCTTTGGTATGCTTTGGGTTTTGGATGGTCACAGAAGGATGAGCTGGCCACAGGTTTACATTACTACCTGCCAGATACTCTTTCTCTCCACTTCTCAGCCCCTTTGCTTTCCCTAGGGACCTATCATTTCCTAAATGACAAAACCATAAAGACTGGAGGGTCCTATTCAGTGAGAACTAGTAAGCAAGGAAGGAAAACCCTTAGTTTCTAGAGGAAATGTGTCTTAAAGCCAGGCTTAAATACACCATGGAGAACGTGGGCCTGCCAGCCACAAGTGAGGCTGCGGCCCCTCCTGTCAGGGCTTATCACCTTCATCCCTGGCCTCCTTGACTGCTGCTCCAATTGGTTTTCATTTATTTGACATGATATGGGGTTTTTGTTTGTTTTAATGAAAATAGTTAAAATTGGGTACCATAAGTAGTACTGAATCAAATGGAAGAAATATTGTGTTAAACAGGACCTGCCACTAAGAAGTCCTTGGTTCATGCTAGGCATGTAAGAGTGTGTATGACTTTTCTTTTATGGAGTATTACTCCAGCTCAGGTAATCTCCCACTGTTTTGAGCTGTAAAGATGGTGGACACTGTCTTTATGGCTCTAGGAGGCCTGTGTCCTGCTGGGACATAATGCAGTTGCTTTTCTTCTATCTTATTCCCCTTTATTTCCAAAGTGAAATACTCGTGTTAGCCTCTAGCTGGGACTCAGCATTTCCCACTCCCATGTTTTGCTATTTATTATTTTTCTTAATGGTTTGTGAATGTTGGTAAGTCTTAGTGGCCCTTGTTTGGTTATGGAAGTCCCAGTAAGACACAGAGCAATTTGTCATGAGAAAGCATTCTTGTCTTTTGTCCAGGGAGTCTCTTTCATTGGTTACCACTCACAGACTGAGCAGAACCAGTGTGACATTTTCTTTGTGAATAGTTACCTCATCCATGTTTGAAAATGTATGGGTGAAAAAGACATTTCCAACAACTTATGTACAAGTTTCATTTTATTCTGTTTTTCTGTCAAACTGAAATTTTCATTGTAGATCTTTGCTTTAGAGACATCTAAATGTGTAGGGAAAGAGGTTCAGGCAGACCACACAGGAAGCCAAGACAGAAGGTCAGTTTCAACTCAGAAGTTCACAACATACAAAGATTTTTATTTATGTAATACAGACCTTTTCTCAAATATTTTCACAGAATTCCATACAGCAATCTACTAGAAAAACGTAGAATTACGACACCAAGATAACATTGTTTCTTATTACAAATTGCTAATCAAAAGGAAAATAGAGTTTCATAACAAATAGAGGGTAGGGTGGGTGATGCTCAGCACAGTACCTGGTAGCCCCGATCTCATGCCAGGATGGTGGGGGGTCGAGGTCGTGGGGGAGGGGCCCCACCTGGCTCTGCCTCATTGCGGGCACAGTGACCTTGGGCAGGCTTTGGTACTTACATTTACTCATAAAAGAGAACAGGTTGTGAGCCCAAGAGCGTCTCCATCATCTCCCTTGTGCCATGAGGAGGCCAGACCAGGAAAAAGCAGTGACAATTTTATGATTGCTATAACTTAGATCTTTGCTGTTTACCACATAGTAAAACAAAATTGCCTTCCCCAAACCATAATTTTCTAGGTCTAACACATGCTTGAAGAAGAATATAGAAATAATTCACTGAGATGTTTTAAATTACATTTGTCATAATTTAAACATTACTATTAAAATCCTAGAAATTTCAGCACTGGAGAAGCACAATTGTCTAGAAAAATACAGGACCCAGTACCGAATAAAATTCCCCTGTCCCAGTATTAGAGTCCACTTCCCTATTGCTAAAATCAGATTTCTCAAGGTTACAGATAAATGGGAAATGGTTTTTCACAACATAGTTAGAATTAGTGGGATTATTGGCTCCACTGTCTGTATCCATAATTGGTGAAAATAGACATTTCATTATGACTAAAAATATAGATTTTTTTCAAAACTACAGAAACCAGCAGTCAGTTCTCTGTTTTGCTGTTTCCCACCCCCCCAAATGTCAAGCAAAGTCTACAAAAATAGCAATTAACTTTTAAAAATATTTTGCTTGTTCAAGCAAATTTAAGTTACATTCAGATGTGACAGCTATTTCTATAGAATGATGCTCAGAGTCCTTCCTTGATCAGCCTGGGACAGAACCAAGGTGCATTTATCACCGTCAGTATCGGGTTTGGTCCTCGTGCTGCCACCGGTTGAAGTCGCTGTGAAACAGAACGATACTCCCCGAAGCCATGCCAGAAATGATGCACCTGCGAGGGATGGAGACGGGTTACAGGGCTGCACTCCTGCTGCCTGGGACACTTTTCTTGGTGACTGACATGTAGACCCAAGTCAGCTTGCTGTATGGGGCACTGGTTTTGACCACAGGGACGGACCATCTAAGGTCTGTGAAAGGGACAGATAACGCAGACGATCATTGAACTGTGAACAAAATCATTTCCACAGAGGGAGCCTGCTGGAAACCATCTTCCAGGCATCAGAGTCAGGAGGAAAACCCACGGAGCAGTTGCCACTGGAAGGAGCACACAGTTAAGGGCCAGAGCTAGCGCTGCTGACAACTCAGAACTGAGGGCAAGGGGGCAAAACGCTGCTCCTTTTAGGGTGGGGGAGGGGACTCTAACCTCTGGGTAGAGACCTGGTCCTTGTAACCCAGGGAGCTGATGTGGTGATCACTGGAGACAGGAGCGGCTTGCTCTCCTGTCCTGAGAAAGTGATGCAGGGACAGAGGGAGACAGCCAGAGGTGGCTTTGCTCTTGAGCCCTTTCCCTGCAGAGTTTGGTCAGGGCCGGCTCTTAGGGAGTTACGGTCAGTACCTTCCTGCTCTTCTTACTGAAACTGGACTCTATCTATCACTATGAAGTTGGGGAAATGGGGCAAACGGCAAGTCCTCCTACAGCCAGACATCACATGTCAGAGATTAAACCTGGCCAAGTGGATGAAGAGGAATAACCCCGGAGGAGTGGTGTACAGGCTATTCAGCTGAAGAACACGGGCTGAGCACATGAACAGATGGGCAGGCAGTAGTAGGAAGAGAACTTAAGTGGCCCTGATGTCTGGAGGCCTTAAGTCAAAAGCACTGTGGCAAGAGACAGCACCCCTAAATGTTACTACAGCACAGTGAGCATCCGAGCCCCAGGAACGAGGTGCAGCAAATATTCACAGAAGGAAGGGAGAAAGAGATGGTTCTCCAGTCAGTTACAGGCTTTAATACCCTACTTTGGAAAACAGAGAATAACCAGACAGATGGATAAGAATGTCAAAAATACCAAAAGCCACACAGACCGAACACCAAGCCAACAAGAGCAAAATACACTTGTTTTGTGGTGCACATGGAGCAACCTTTGGGAAGCAGCACATATCAAGTGTTGTGGATTTACTGTGAAGTCGTGCAAAGTGACTAGAAGTCACTAACAGTGAAAACTGGAAAATACATAAGCATGGACATTAACAGTGCATCTAAGATCAAACAGAGGCCACACTAACAGGACAGCAAGGGCAGAGAGAAGAGGAAGGCTGTAGCTAAAACATTAGAAAAGACACAATCTTACAGACCTAACTTTAGACCTTAATGACCTAGAAAAAGAGTAAACTGAACCCACAGCTAGAACTTTTAAGAAAATAGCAGGAAATCAGAATGGGCTTCCTGAAGAGATCTGCAAAATTGATACAACTTGAGCTAAAGGGAACACTCGAGCTTATGAAGAATATTGCACACCAGCAAATTGAGTAGCTCAGATGAGGTGTAAAGATGCACTTGGTAAAGAAAAGCTGTAGGCCACGTGGTATAGTGATCCTACCACGAATTTAAAGGCAATTATCACTTTTTTTTTCAAATTCCTCCAAAAAATTTTAGTAGGAAGAAATACTTCTGGTGTTTACCATTTTCCTGATACCAAAGCCAAACAAGCCAACACTAAAGAGCATTACACACCAGTATTATTTTCTGGATGGGTACCGATGCCAATCGCCAGGAAACTAAACCCATTAATGTCTCATAACGATTAAAGACCAGGCCTATGAGGTTTTCCTCTGGAATGTAAGGGCAGTTCAAGGTGTAAAATACATCCAAAAGCATTAATAGACTAAAAACCCATGTGTCAACTGCTGCAGGAAAAGCACTTGACAAAATTCAGTGTCTTTTTTACTAGTAAAGTGGGAATAGAAATACATGACCAGGTGAGAGCATTTCTGAAAACCCCAGAGCCAACAATCCCACTAAACGGTGAAAAGATGGATTTCTACACTATCAGAATAAAATAAGGATGCCCACTTTCACCGCTTTTATTCAGTATAATGCTTGATGTCCCAACATAGCTGCTAAGCAAAAGGGGAGGGCATTTAAATCGGAAAGCGAGTAAAATGATCTCTGTCATAAGGTATGTGGTTTCACATGTAGAAATTCAAGACTCCACACAAAACTCTTAGTGCTTAAACATGAACTCAGAAGTTGTGGGTATATAAAAATCAGTTGCTTTTTGGTTTATGTTTTAAAGACAGGACCTCGCTGTGTAGCCCAGGCTGCCTTGAACTCACTATCTCAGCCTATAGAGTGCTGGGATTACAGGTATATACCATGGTGCCCTCCAGCAATTCTATACACTAATAATCCAAAAGTGAACTTAAGAACAATCAACATTTGTAGTTGCATTAAAAAGAATAAAAACTTGGGCTGGAGAGATGGCTCAGCAGTTAAGAGCACTGGCTGCTCTTCCAGAGGTCCTGAGTTCAATTCCCAGAACCACATGGTAGCTCAAACCCATCCATAATGAGATCTGGTGTCCTCTTCTGGCCTGCAGGCAGTCATGCAGACAGAACACCGTATACATAATAAATTAAGAAATCTTTAGGAATACATTTGACCAAGGAGACAGAAAGCTTATATACTGAAGACCACAAAAGAGTACTGGAAGAAACAAATGAGTTATGTGTGTGGACTGGAAGATATGTTAGATATGTTAATACTAATATCCCAAAGTGATCAGCAAGTTGCTGCAATCCCTGTCAAAATGCAATCTTTCATAATGCAAAACTCACTCTAAAATTTATATGGAACTTCAACCCCAAATGGCCAAGAAATATCCAGAAAAAGGGGAGAATTTAGAGGACTCTCTAAAAACTTGTTACACCACAGTGTTGTAGTGACGGAAACAGTAAAGGTAGATAGCACACACTCCTGAAGGAGCACACTGTCCAGGAGGAAAGGATCTAAGTGCATGTAGATCGCAGTGGGTCCCCCCCACCATAAGTGAAACTAACACAATAGAGCGAAAACCTCAAAACACTGAAGTGAGAGGAAAACATTCATGACCGGTATTTGTGGTAATTTCTTAAGAGATATCGAAAGCACAAACAACCAAAGACAGAAAATGTAGGTCATAAAAGTTCCCCATTTAAAGAGCACTGATGAGCGCGAAGACAACACAGAATGTTTGTGAAACTGTGAGAGCGCGTCACAGCCGCTGAGAGAGAGAGAGAGAGAGAGAGAGAGAGAGAGAGAGAGAGAGAGAGAGAGAGAGAGAGAGAGAGGGAGGAGGAGGAGCAGCATGCGCAGTGCTGGTCAGAATGTAGAATTGTGGAGCAGCTCAGGGATTCTCCAAGATGTTAGTGACAGAATTACTATATAACCCTCCAGTTCCACTCCTGGGTATAGACCCAGAGGGACTGTAAGGAGGGACTTCAGTGGGCATTTGTACACCACTGTTCACACCAGACCACATACACATAAAAAAACCCACACACAAAAGGGCAGACAAATGGAATATGCATATAACAATATAAGAAAAAAATCAGGATTCTGACATAATACAACACGAAACCTGGAAAACTTGCTAAGTGAAACAAGCCAGCTCTAAAAAGATCCTGTAAGTTTCCATGTACGGAGGCGGCTGGGAAGGGCAGTTTCATAGAGAAAGTAGGATGGGTGTGAGCAGGGGCTGGGGATAAAATTGGGGGTGGTG